CTTACTTGTGATTCTTTCCCCATGGCCCAGACTGTGTTTAGCATGTTGCTCGAGCTGCATGCAGCTTTTCTGCTTCGGCGATCTTGTTTAAAAACAGAGATACAAAAAAAAAATAGTATACATAACCTGCCAATTCATTCATACCATCAGCAGCATTTATTGTGTGAGATGTTAATCTATAGTGATGCTCCTGCAATTGTGGCCATATTTTTTTATTTTCATATACCAGCTGTGATTCATGCGTTGCCTGCCCTGTCAACCATGCTTAAAATGTTGGTTGAAGTTTCGCCTGTAGCTACAGGCCATACCTCAATAAAGGCACATATAAAAATTTACACTTCCTACGAAAAACACGCCAAAAAAAAATTCAATAGAAACGAGCGCGCCGACAGCTAGCGTCGTCACAGCCTCCACAGGGCAAGCGGGCCGAGTCGGGGAAAAATTCTCTCCTTGCCGTGACGTCACCCCGGTTCGCCGTAAGGGGGCGCCACGCGAACTTGTCGGGGCTCCACGCAAACTTCTCGGGGCTAATAGCAGATGGACGGAAGGAGACGGCAGTGTTGAGAGATCAGGTGCGTGCTTTGGCTCTTTTGCCATGCTTTTCAATGGGTGGAACGTGAACATAAAGTGTTTAAATAAAAACTTAATGCAGATATCCTATTTTCTCCAATGTCTAATATTTTTTTCAGTATTTTACGAAAAGCATGTTTTTCTTACCACCAACAACCGTCTTCTTCTTTTTTTTTTTTTTTTTTTTTTTTTTTTTTGTTGAAACATGGGTATGAAGCAGGATCTCCAAACTTTTTAGCTGAGGAATGGTGCACGGAATGATTCATTCTCCGACTCTTGTGTTTACCACATTCTAAAATGCGGTCCCTCAATTTCCTCCTGACGATGTCGTAGAAGTGTCGTGCTGTCGCCGGCAGCATCGCATCATCGGTGGCGGATGTGGCAGGCGCCTGTTCTGCCGCAGGCTGTTCTCCAGCCTGAGGGTCCACAGAAGCTTTGGCAGCCAGGAGTTGGGACACCGCGACAACAGCGATGCTCGCGTTCGCTTGTGCTTTTTTGTCAGGACTTGTACGACCCACTGCCAAGATTGCAACACCGACAGCATGCATGACACTTCGGTTTTTGTGACGTCATTTGTTGTCTTTGGGGCACCACTTTGGATGCATGGGCGGAATAGGATGCTTAACACCCCAGCCAGAGATGTGTTCCAGGCACTGTAGCTAAGGAGCCAGATTGGGGATTGGTTGCAGTCTCAAGGGGCATAAAATGTATAAAAAGATGTGAGATAGAAAAGGCTAAATTATTGTTCTCATTCTTTATTGTATCTTCATGTGCGCATTGTGGTGCCGTCTTTTTATTAATTTTGTGCCGGTAACAGTGCCCTTGCTGGAAGCAGTCCATGGGCAGGATGTTGCTGGAAGGGCCGCGCTTATCCTCGGACCAGTCGGAAAGCCTCCTTGCAGAAGGCATTTCCTAGTCAGTTTTCACGGCCTGTGGGGCTGTGGTGCCATCCTGTGGCAGCGTTGCGGACATTGGATAGGTGTACTCCGAACCAGTCCAAAGTCAGTGCATTTACCAGCTGGCACTAATGCTGATGCATTAGAAAAAAGATGCTTACTGCACTGACTATCAGGTACCATAGTCAACATGTGGAGCAGTGGCGAGTGAGCTGCCATGTCGCGTAATTTGTAAGCTATTCATACTGGGTGAATATAGAGCAAGCCTCAGCGGGCCCGTGAAAATTAGCGACGGGCCGGGCCGGGTCGGCTGTTGGATATGGCTAGCGGGACGCGGGCAGACTCAGGCCCAAGAGACAGAGGGCTGGGTCGGGCCAGGCTCCTAAATATTTCCCCGTGCAGGCCTTTAACATAAATTGGAAAATCATTTCATGGCCCCTTTGATCTCATAACTCAGTGGAAATGCGATTCTCCAGATCCACAGTTTTGGTGAAAGCCTAAGCATTTTTGTTTTCACTGTAGCTTGATGGTTTACCTTGAGTTGACGGTGACATCTTGCACATATGTTGGTCACTTTGCAAAGATTAACAAATCAGCACTCCATGAAATTACATGTTTATGGTTGGTAACAGGTTAAAAGTGCAGTTGAACACCCACTTTCATCACATACTTGTTGACTTCCACCGGGCTTTGACTATGTGTGTGCTAAAGTGTGTTCAAAGGCAGAATGCTTGTGCTGGAGGCAGAGCATCTTTAACCTGCCATCGACTATACAGTTATGTAAATTTAAGTGACGAGACAAAAATTAGAAAAATAAACAGTGACTTCTAAAATGTACTAAAGGCAAAATTAGGGACATGTGAATATCAAAGTGTTAGCTCAGTGCCATTCCTAGCTCCAACACTGTGATATTTTGTGGCTTTCCCTTGCACTCTGGAAGCTATAAAGAACCGCTATTTCACTTGAACCACTAACTACTCTCTCATCTTTAGTAAGATGTTAAGAAAACATATGAAATAACACTTACATTCAGCACATTCAGGAATTGAAGTTAACTATTTCGACAAACACCTTTAGAGAGAGTGAGAAATATTAAAACATGCCATGGGAGATGAAATGTAGAGGCAAAATTTATCCACTGAAGACGTATGGCTTGTCATTCCAGTATTTTAATTCGAGGTATTTTATTAATTTAAGTATTTTTTCATACTTCCTGTCAAATATTGAAATTTCCTTGCCCGTGTTTGAAGATTTTTTTTCTAACTAGGAGCCAAAAAAGATTCGAGGCATGAAAAGGGAAAATACCCTACTTGGAACGTCACTGACTCCCGGATCTGTGTTCTGCAACAAATGCTCTACGGTGTGAGGGTTGCCAGACAGTTAATTAACTTCATTTCTTCTAATTGTTTGCAGGCATTTCGTCAAACATTGATTTTTAATCACTTGTCACTCTCTTTGGCAATACATATACTGTCGAGACCGGTTATAACGAAGTCGGTTATAACGATATAGCGGCTACAGTGAAGCGATCACGATTTCCCCTTACCTTTTGCACTTCGTTATAACCGAAGTCGTTTATAACGAAATAGCGAATATAGCGAAGTGATTTCCGATTCCCATTGACTTCGTTATAACCGGTCTCAACAGTATGTCACTGCGTGGAAAGCGTTTCTTCCAAATCCCAAGACCCAAGTGTTCATGCCATATGTTAAGCTGCCTATGAGGGGTTTGTAGAATCCTTGTATGGTGCAACTTTTGTCCCTCACCCCTTGAATGCTCAGTGTACCCAAATGTAGCTCTAGCGGTCCGATCCAGATGCGAGCTTCAGAACAAACTGTTATCTTATTCAAAAGTTAAATCATTTTCTAAAACTTTCAGTGGGGAAATGGTGTCCCGTTCTTGGAACTTCATGCCGTTCAGCCCTATGTATTCGTGGGCTTTGTCGTCCACCATGTTACCATTAAAAATTTCTGAAAATCGCTTATAACTTTTGAAGAAGGTAACGGTTCATTCATAAACTTTGACATCCAGTTTGAACTGTTAACTGTACATTTGGATGAACACTGAGCATTTGATAATGCATAGTTAATTTTAGCAATTAAAAATAAAGACTAAATACTTTTTGGGGGGACACCCTGTACATAGCTTGCACAAACCTTAGAAAAATTGAATTCTGGGAAGGCTGTTGCCATATTGCTGAACCAAAGTGCCACTGCAGCCAAGGATGGTTGTTTACCAAACAGTGTCGACTGAGCATCATTCTGGCTTGCTGTGGAAATATTTGGCTGCATGTTAGATGTAACCAAGGGCAATGACAGTCATGACCGAATGGTATGCATGCTTCTCCTGGTTACCAAGAGTTACTGCGGGTCACTCAATGCCTGCATGAACTGTCGAAAACCTAAAAAAGTGGCTCCGACCTAGCCTCATATGTCAACAGAGATGCGCAGCATCAACACGGGCATAGCCCACAAAAGGGGCCATCTCCTATTGTTTTTCTTGGGGGGAAGAGGGGTGGGGAGGAGGAATGAGGTTGTGAATTGTTGGGAACCCAGTTAGTACTCATGAAATATTTGCAATGTAAAGATATGCGTTAGCTGCGCCGATAGTCTTGTGAGCAAGGCACGTCAATGAATTCCATTTGTTTTTAAAGCGCTTCATCCATGTTATTCAATGCTACGAATTCTGGTTCATTGGTCACTTTGTTTAAAGTATCGGTAAGCAGATAAAGGTGACCACTCAGCTTTACTTTGCCCTCTCAATCTGAGCTACGCTTAGATTGATTCAACAGTAGCGCATTGAATTGAGAGGGAACCAATCACATGTGCCCAGTCCCTCTGCTCCTCCCCCTTCTACCCAATCACAATTGTCATATCTTGATTGAATGCTTTGGTCGCATCTATTTATCCGCGGCTTTGGAGGGACACTGTGCATGTTGTTTGAGGAAAACACAACTGCGGTCATCGTGTCTACACTGACACAATGCTCGTAGAAGTCTTGATTATAGCAAATGTCCACATTTAAATATTCTGGTCTCGGCTTTATTTTTCTTATAGAATTTTCCCAACTGCTTTGTTCCAGCCTGGCGATGATTGACCTCAGATTAAATTCCAACGAGTGGAGCTCAGAAAATGTCGCTTGCCACCATTGTTATATAGCCGAGGTTGCGGCATGCTCATCGGGCCTGCCAAACATTTGTCGGTGTCTGGGAAACTGCAATGATACATGCTCTTTGCAGATGAATAGCATCTGCCGCTGCAAAAAGACATCATGGAATGGTATCTAGTAATTTATCACTCACGGTCTTCACGAGCATTTTCGCTCGCCTCATGGCATCATTTCACAGTGGACCTGCCTTTGCATTTTACCTTCGGGAGAAAGACACTTTTGTCAAATTTTGTGTCTTACAAGGCCAATGGCTTCTAGATCTAGATCACTTTGTGCATTCCAATATTTTTTTTAAAAATCTAAACAGTTTTAGAGAATGTCTCTGAATGCAGTCGTGTAATTCAGTGTAACCTTTCTATTTCGCAGGTAACCCAACAGAACTCAAAGCCTCTGGCGCCAGCACGTACGAAGGGCATCCGCAAGCGCAAGTTGGTTCCAGATGTAACCTGCATAGAGCCTACCGTTGTCCTTGATGATTCTTCTCGTGTCGCTGTCAAGGTTCCGGTCACGAAACGTCGCGCCAACGCTCCTGCCGCCAAGCGGCCCAAGAAGGAAAAGCCAGCAATGAGTGGGCCCGACATCCCTTTGGAAATGAATCCCGACACGGTGAGCCATCTCATTGCCTTCTGCGGCTAACCATCTTCTGAGGTACTACTAATTCTTTGTAGAATACTTTTGTTCCTTCAACACTTCTGTGTCGAAAGTGCCTTGCTGGCATGCACAAAGGACTATGTTAAGCTCTACTGGTAGGCGGTGGGGAGGAAAAAAAAATGCCCTGCCATGAAGCTTCCCAACCATCCCTCGTGAAGTATTCTGCCAGATTCAGTGTTGGTACTAAAACGTTGGCTCTTATTGTGTTGAATGCGTACAAATTTTGGTTGTTTAACAGATAGTGAGATGACACTTCATCCTGCATTCTCTCTAGGTGCTTACTACTTTGTTAGAAAAAAAAATTACCTACCGTAAAGTTCCATGAGAACGCCCGCACCCGAAAGATCGCCCATCCCGTTTTTCTGGCTAAATATCTGTAACATAAAAATTCGGAAACATTGCCCACCCCCGATTCCCATTGGACATCACGCAACGTGTGGTGGGAATCGCATCAACCGCCACGCAGTTTGCTGAACCGCGTTTTTGTCCGCTATGTGCATGCGCGATATCGGCTTCCGTAACACGCAAGTTGTTTCCGCATGTATGTTGTACCGTGAAATGCGAATCTGGTTTGTCGGTAATCTGCGGTATCCGTTACCAGGACATAAGTGTGCTGCAAATTCCTTCGTTTTTGTCCACGCGCGCAATATCAGTTCCTGTGACAGGCAAGTCTGTAGTGGGTTCCTACGTGTTCATTCCACTATAAAACTTGAATCTGCTGTGTCCACGATTTGAGGTATTCGTTCCCGTGAGATGCGAGTTCTCGGCGGGTTTCCGCGGGTCTTTCGCACCATGAAACGCGAATCTGCTGCGTCCGCAACCTGCGGTATCCTTTCCCGTGGCACAGGAGTTTGTAGCAAATTCCCACCAGTTTATCGCATTGTGAAACGCAAATTAGCAGTGTCCACGATCTGCGGTATCAGTTCCCACGTCACGTGGTTTGTAGCCAGTGTCAGAGTGTTTATCATTAATTTTTTATAAAGTTTTGCTGTGGCTTCCCCAAAGATAGCCCACCCCATGTTTTTTGCCATTTATCTCTTCATTTGGGTGGGCGTTCTTTTGGAACTTTACGGTATTCATACTGCACTAAAAATTTCTATTCAGTACTGAGCTTTGTTTTGCACATTAATACGAGCGTCTTTGTTCGCTTTATGGGCTCTTATTTTAACATAGGTGTTTTTTTTTGGGCTGCTTATGTAGGAAATGACAGATATAAAAAAATCAACCAACACAAGTCCTATGCACACCGTTGGTGGGCAGTGTTTTGGCCACCAGATTTTGATAATTTTGTTGGCTCTGTGTGTAAAATTTTTTGTAGGTATTGTATGTGCAATAGTTTTGCTAGGCTTGTCCAAAAGGGGCTGGAAATCTGTTTTTGTAGGGGCTGGCAAATATAATTATTTTTTAATAGTGTGCACCAAATAGAAACTGTGTGTAGAACAATTTCTAAAATTGAATTGAACATGCACATACCATATTTACACGAGTGTAAGTCGACTTTATTGTAATTCGACCCCCCACCTTACATTGCACATCAGAAAAAAAAATCTTTAGATGCACATTTTACTGCAAACATGTAAGAACGGCAAAGTATCTTTTTCGAAAACCCAGCCTCCAACATACGATCGATGCCTTCGCTCATGCAGTTTGTGCATGCACGCACAAAGTGCATGATATGCCCAGGTGTTATCAAAACTAGGAAGTTCACGCCGGGGGCAAGACAAATGAAGCTGCTTAGTTGTTCTCACTCCGTTCGCGACTAGACTATGACTCGTCCGCACTGGTGGTGCCAGTCCCGTCGTCATCACTGCTACGTTCTGAAGTACATTGTCGGCATCGTCCAACGAAATCTCACACTTTGCAAATGACAGCATCAACCGCATCTTCTGCACTTGCTCGGCAATCGCATTGCATGTCAGGAGCAAGGACCGATTGCGCACTTTTGTGGCGTACGTTGCAAGCCTGACCTCAAACTCCGGAATGCATCCATGCCTATCCAGACTGGCCTGCGGAAGCCTCTTCGTTTGCTGTCACAGTTTAAGTTCCCACGCCATTGCAGACTCCACTGGAGCCTCACCCGCTTTGACGGGTCGAACTTGCATCCTACAGCGCAGTTGTTGGTTGCTTCTGGGCGAAGAATGGCCGTAAACAAGCACCGAAAACCTAAACTGCCTAGATCACGTGTGTCAATACAAAAAACATAGTTAGCGCTCCAGCATGATATCGACACTCAATCAAACGACATACTACTATGACTCGTTAGAAAAACTGCGAAAAGAAGCCGCAGCTAGTGAGCTTTGAGGCTGTTCCAGCGGCCTCCAGAGTGGCTCCTGCAAGAAGTGCCGCCGTTCCCGGGAGTCGGGTGCACCGTGCGCTGTTCACCGCCATACATTTGGGTTCATTTGCGAATCACTATCAATTATACTTGTTTGCACAAATAAAAAAAAAGTATTTGTAAAATGAGCGCACAGCATACCGCAATGCTACAGGCTGAACTCGTCACAAGCCGTGATGTTCTTGATGAAGAAAGGTAAAAAACGCAGGCAGGCTGGTGAGTGACATCCATAGTAACCTTGAGATGTTGGAACAATAAAAAAATGGACAGAACAATGAAGTGTGTAACACAGCTGGAAATTTATTGAACAACCATTGCCTTATATACATGTCCTAGACCTCTTTCACAATTCATACGACCTCCTAGTCCCCTACACAGTGTACCTACGGTTCTTGGTATCGCAATTTTTTAGTTTTCATCGGCGGTGGAATGCTTTAATTTAATTATAAGTCGATCCCCCCCTCCCCCTAACACTTCAGATTTTTAAAAATTGAAAAATGGGTCAACCTAGATTTGTGCAAATACGGTATATAATGAAAAAAGTGGCTAAAGATCCAACTTGAAATATTGAATGTGGATGAAATGTCAAAAGTATTCTACTCATAATGAAAAAATTCTAGATATATTTGCATAGTTTTGCTTGGAATTTTTCAGCTATTTTTTTTGTTGCCATTATCCTGCTTGCACTCTGACTGAGGCCTGTATAAACTCTTAGTGTAGTCCTTTCTATACTTTAAAAGAGTTGTCCAACAAAACAGTAAAAACTCTTTAGATGCAGGGCGACCAAAAAGTCTCGTTTCTTGGAAAGAGGGGTGCTGACGACTCAGCTGCCGGGCCTTCCAAGAAGATAAAGCAAGAGGATGCTTCCAGCAAGGCTGCGATCGTGAGTGAACGAGTGTTTTACATATCACTATTTTTAGGAACATACACAGCAATGAAAGGCCACAGGTCAACAGTTTTTGCTGTAATGTCACAGTAATGTGGATGACGTGCAGTGCTCCAGCCCAGGAATTCTTAAACTCCTTTATTTCAAGAAACCCCTATCTGCCCTGAATGGTCTCATCATTTCTTCATTAGATGAGTGCAGGAGACCTTGTAAACAATAATGCACATACTAGTGTCTGACTAATAGTTAAGTGTCAATTAGTTTCTCAGATCTGCAAAAATAGTGTTTAGTCTTGAAGAAGTGTCTACTTAGAGGACAGGGACAGTCAAGAAAACTTTAGGGAACTCACAAGAGTGCTCTGGGGACCCTAGGGTTCCTAGGAACACAGTTTGAGAACCCATGCTTCAGCCCATGCCAAATGTTATATTTGTGTGTGTCTGTACTTCATTCTAAATGTTTTCCAAGTTTTCGCCAAAAGGTTGCTCAAAAGTTTTGCAAAACGTAAAATCGCCGACGCAGCATCTATCGTCCTGTCTCGCGTTAGTACGGCGACCCATTTGGTTTCCGACTTGCTCCGAAACAATGCTGCGTCAGGGCTGTCTTTCTAGTGTTGAATTGAGATTGTATGTGTGACCGAGTGGAAATCACTGGACAAAAATCAAATGTACAAAAATTGGGATGCGGCAAACGCACCAGTCTGAAACGCATGTCAGGCGCCCTAGTTGAAGTAACCGAAGGCGACGGCCGGCCCGTCACTGTTGCACATCTTTCAGGGTCTGCCATCCTCTGACGAAGTCATCGATGTCGACGCAGAATGGGAGGCGCGCTACGGCTGGAAGGTGGACCTAGCAGTTTCGGCAACCGTCAACGCTCGTGTAGATGTCGTTCGCAACGTGGTGGACATGCTGCAGAAGGACTGCACAATCCCCTTCATAGCCCGCTACAGGCGGGAGCAGACGGGAGGTCTGCAAGCAGATGAACTGCAGAACATCCAGCAGACCTACCAGAGCCTGCTGTGCGTGGTGCCAAATGCTTTCAATTATCCGTGTTACTGTAAAGGGGAACTCCGCCGATTTTCCGGGCTACCTAATCCAAAGGCATCATCTGATTACGGATGGCTTCCTGATTCCGAAATGCTATCTCGTTTTCCCATATTCACTCTAGTTAATTCAAAAAGGGATATTTTGTTTGCTGCCGAAACCGAAACATCGCTCTCCCTAGTTTTTCCCCAGTTATCCCCGCCACCCAAGCGTGACGTCACGGATGTGCAGCAAGCTAGCAATCGGGTACGCACGCGCCCGCCTTTCTCGCATCTAACAGCGAGAAAACCTGGGCGTTCATGCTATTTTGAAGCTGATAATAATCTATATTTGCATAAAGTATGACCTTGGTCTACATGCTAAACTATAAAAAAGTAAAAAAAAAAAAACGGGAGCAATTGGATTTTTGAGAAAACCGTTTTTGCAACTCAGTACGCTCAAGCCGCAGCTCGCTAGTTTCATGAAATCGCTAGTAACCCGACGCCATCTATCAACATGTGCGCCAAACGCACGCCGCTACTCTACTTGGCCGTCTGCGTCGCCATTCGCCGTTGACCCTGGCGAGTTTTTTGGCCCTATTGTTGTTTTTTTGTTACAGAAAAAGAGCTATGCTTTGTAATTAAAGAAAAAAAAGAAAAACCTGTGAAATACACTTTTGATGAAAAGCTTAGATTGCTACGTGCAGGCGTCGATTTTTACGGTCCATTTTAGCGAGAGCCTGGTGACTTGGGACACCTTATATTTGTCTTGAGTGATAGACGAGGAACCTCTCCCGGTCTCGGCGTTGATCCAGTAAAGCAGTGCAGGAGCTACCCATCTTGTAAACAATGATGGATGCACTGAGGAGCTTTTAACTCGTAGTTATGCTTCAATGAGTGGCTTGGGGAAACCCATGAGGGTACCCTACTGACCCAGTTTGAGAACCTATGGGTGCGGGAACTGAAGTTTGTTTTTCTGTTTCTTTGCTCATGTAGTTCAGTCAAGAAGAAAGCGCAGACCATGCTGGCGCATCTGGCAAAGGAGAAGAAGGGAGATGCGACGGTCAAGAAGCTCATCATCAGTGCCAAGAGCTTGGAAGAACTGGACCACATTGTGCGTATAAGCGTTACGCACCTCTCACCCCGAGCTGAAACTGTGAAGAAATGTCATTCTCATTGTTCGTACAGTGCTGCATGCAACTGGGAGCATTTTCTGTAGAATGTCGAGAGGGATTTCTGTTTCTCTTCATTGGTTTCTCGCGTTTTTCTCCAGTGGATGGTTAGGACTACAGCTGCTATAGTGTGTCACTTCTTGACAGTACAGTCAAATCTCGATATAACAAATTTCATCGGCCTCGCGAAAAGCATTTGTTATTCTGGAATATCAGTATACAGAAAAACTCTTAAACTGTATTTAAATCTTGGTAAAAATAACATACCTTTGCTATAGAAATATCCAAACGCTCAGATTTATCCGAAAAAAAAAAAAAAAAGTTACACGTGATTGAGCACTACTACTTATTTACTGTAAGAAAATGTCCAGCACAAACGCTCTAGCAGGAACGACTTGACGTTGATAGTGACACGGGCACCGCTCGCATGATTCAAAATACTGTACACCTAATGGAAGAAGTCCGAGATCTTCTGGTTGGTGCTGCACAAACGCTGCAGGAAAAACAATTCAATGTCGTCCACTTTCCTGTGGACATCCTCTGTCGCATTTTCACACCTTCCAAGGGATATACGCAACTTGCTGATATGGAACATCCTGTGTGAAGGAGAGGAATGCCAAGTTTGGCAGTTAGGCCAACCGGCGGAACCTTCCTATAGACCGACACGCGGGCCTGACGTCGTGGAGCTGCGGCGGCGCTGCGATCGTGCCGGAGCCGGGTGTTGTGCGCAAAATTGTGCGCGTTTTGCATGGCCATAGCATTTCAGCATGTCGCAAAGCTGTGTAGCCGTTAATTGCACCGAAAGCTCCAGCAAAAGTGGCAGAGTGAGTTTCCACAAGTTCCCGGCAAACTCTGAAAGGCGCAGAAGGATAATACTCATGGATCGAAAATAATGGTCGCCTCGTGCAGACGACCGCTTGTGTGGGAAGCACTTCCTTGGAGGCAAGTGTGGCTTTCATTGCAATCTCCGTCCCGAGGCTCGCTTATATGCAGGCAAACTGTCGTCTGATCGAGGCCACCCAGATTTTGTTGCTACGGTGTTTGCGCACAAAGCACCGGCCAAGCGCTTGTCGGTGGCTTGCTACCAGTGGTGGTGGCGACGCGTTACAAGAAACAGAGTTGCCGGTAACACGTTACTTTTTCTGTAATGTAATAATGTACTTGTTATTCTTTAAGACAGTAAAGGGGAACATACTTATGCTAAATTCCGAATAACGCGTAGCAGTAGTTACGTTTCTCAATACAGTAAAACCTCGTTATAACAAAACGGGATATAACAAACTAATGGATATAACAAAGCAATCATAATTCCCCTTGCTTGCTAATAGTGGGAAGAAATGGACATTGGCTATAACAAACTAATGGTTATAACGAAATAATTATGACCGCTCCTTCAACTTTGTTATAACGAGGTTTTACTGTATATATTCTTTCAAAGAGCTAAAAAAAGTAATTTTTTTTTTCCGGCCTTTTATGTTTTGTTTTACCTTCAGCCCAGATGCAGCCGACGCTACAAGCTGATGGAACCAATCAACAGCGCCAAAACCCACCATTATGGTGTCCATTATGTTTCTGTATGTGTTCTACCGTCGTTGAACCAATCATAAACAAGAAAGACCCAGTGACTCGCTCTTTTGATGCTGCTTGATTGGTCCCATTGGCTCGTAGCTTCGGCTGCGCCTGGACTTAAGCTGAAACGAAGTGCAGCACAGTCACAACAGACCTGGGTATCTGAGTTGTACGGAAGATCCCTTTGGGAAGGATATCACCGACCACATTGGCAATCCTTTAGGAAGTATGGCAATGGTGAACTACCACCAAGTCAACTCGTAATGATCGCAGATATCGTACTGTATTTTCTCGAAAATAAACCTTCTAAAAGGGGAAGCTGCACCTGTAATTTCCAGAGTTCACGTCGGGAACAGTCACTTGGGCTTATGGAAACTGCAATGCAGCCGATGAATAAACACGGAAGTTGTTTTATCAGAAAACTCTGCCCATTCTCAGATGCCAAACTGACATCTTCATGCTCCGAATCTTTGTACGGATGGAACTTTTGAGATACATCGTTGTCGGTGCATTGACATTTGCTAGATTTCTTTAGAAATTGCAGTGATTGGCACTCTGTTCCTTGCAATAAAATATTTTTGCTGTTTTTTTTTCTTCGAAGGCTGCACCTATTTTTAACAAATACGACAATAACTTAATTATTTCCTCTTTTTCTGTTCACCAGTGAACTTTCTGGTGCCAGCTGTCTGTCCAGCATATTTGCTTTATGTAGTTTTTCTCACAGGATATTTGAGGCATTTCAGCTAACCTGTGCCAAGACTTTAAAAAATGCTGTCGCATGCTATATGTTCTCAACAAATGTCCAGTCCTATTAAGCAAGTCAAGATTACGCTGGTGATGTGCCAAGCTGGCCAGTTAACAGACTAAGTAGCCAACTTCTTAAATAATAATTTGCATGCAAACCTTCCAACCCCAATGTTTATGAGTGCGTGGAGAAACAATCTATTGAGTCTTTTTCATGCATTCCACATGACGAAGGGCACTAACACTGCAGTTTGCTAGCAGATAGTCACGAGTTCCTTGGATCTCGCGCACCTTCTTTAAAGCTGGAAAAAATTGGACACGCAAGGGCTTCCCTGATGGAAACAACACTGTGGGATGTGCCAGTTTGGCACGTCGCTAAACATATTTTGACTTAATTGTGCAATATTATTGTGAGCAAAACTGTGGTGGTTCGACGCGTGTGGCATGCATCGGCTTTAAGTCTCAGAACAAGTTAACTGAAACAACCCGTATGTAGGGTGTTCTTGGAATCTTCCAGGCAGTACTAGAAAACGCTTTCGCGTGAACATTGAGTTGAGAACAAATAACATAAAAATCTTGTGCCGTGTTTTGTTTTTTTTCCACATCTCGCGTGTTTTGACAGCGGCTTTTTCTAGCCAAGTCGCTTGCATGCTTCCCTTTTTGCCGCGTTAAAGTCAACGATTTCTTAAAGGAGCTCGTGCCTTCAGCCTTGTAAATGCAAACAAAACCGAAAGTCCAGCTCAGGCTCCGAAGTGTCCCATACTATGTTTCAACTCGTGCGAGAACGAGTGAATTGTTACCTTGGACGCAGCGACAACTGAGACGTTGTTGCCTGCAAGAGTGCCATTGCCATTTCTTCCCAGTTTGCTCCTTACAAGGAGGCCAAGGGCAAGTCCCTAGCCCAGAGAGCCAAGCTTCTGGGGCTCGAAGACTCGGCGAACCGGATACTGCAAGGACAGACCACGGTAGAAGCCCTCCCACCGGAGACTCTAGTCAAACCTGAAGTCAAAGGTAACTTGGAACTTTCCGGTTCGTCCGAAAAACTGTCCAGTTTGTTCCCGGTTAAGACTTCAGAGGGGGGTCTCAAAGGACGTGACCCATGGCTCGTTAGGATGTGGCACTCGAGCCCCTCGTGAATTACTCTATTTGCGCTAGCTCAATTCACAAATTTTTCAAAATGTAAAAAGACCCTTCACGAAACTTCGTTGTGCAACATTTCTCGGGCACAAAGTGTACGATTGGATCCAAGTCCTGGACGTATGCCGACGCAACATTTGTTCTCTAAATAAGCTGAGCCCAGTTTGTGCCGCACGCCAACGCAGCCCCCATGTCCAAGAGATGCTTGGAGTGTGCACCCAAACAATGGTGGACTTGGACGATTGGTGCAGCAGCTGCCACGTGGTGCACGCTTTTGAAAAGTGTCCGATTGGGGGAATATTTTGCGGGTGCAAAGGTTTGCGATTTGGAGTGGTACGCTATGCATTCTTCACCGTGGTGCCATACATTCTCACATTCGATTTTATGCAATATTTTTTTTTGGTTTTGCTGTGGCGTCCCCAAAGATTGCCGACCCCATGTTTTTCACCATTTATCTCCATTCTGGGTGGGCGTTCTTTCGGAACTTTACGGTTGTAATATATTTAGATGGTGTACAGTCGATTCCTTATAATTCAAAGCTCACGGGCACAATGAAACACTTAATATTAAGCATTCCTTGAATTAAAAAAAAAAAAGCACAGTCAAATAGTTTTTTTTTTATTCAGGGCTCACCGGGAGAAGTTGATTTTTGCTTGCTTCTGCTAATGGAGATGCGCAAAATTCTGCAAATGAAGACGTAAAGTACTAACTGTGCTCTGCCTACTGCAAACCTTTTAGGGCGCCCTCAGCATTTTGTTTTTTTGCCAAAGAGGACATAAAATTGTGGTCCGGTGTTCCACAAGCAGTTTCCGTGTCAGCGGCACTCGGCCACACGGCATGGAGAGAGATGTGATCATGAGGCCTAACCGCTTGCATGACGTAACTGTCGGAAAGCAGAATACACACCATGGCATTGTCGACATAAATATATTTGATGGACAAAGCATCTCGTAGGGCTGGGTAATGCCTCAAACCAAGCCTTGTTGGCCCCATTCGTGCCGCTCGTAACTTCCGTAGAAAAGATACCATGATGCACGTGCCTGCAGTCATGCTGGCTTGGTCTGTTTTTGGCGTGGCTTGGCCTGACTGCTTAATTGGCTTGATTGCGTGGCGGATTAGTGGCGAGCTGCACTCATTCATTCTTTTTTCCAATGGCACACACGGTAGATAAAAAAAAAGAATTAGGGTGTGGGTATGGTTATACAGCCTGAACTTAGTCTGCCTCAACAGGAAACTTGTCTCTCGGCTGTAGATAAATTTAGCCAGTGCAGTACAACCGCTAGCCTGAGATTTTTAATGTGCATCACGCAGTAGTGATACACAACCGTACGCGAGTACGATGCTTATCCAGATCGAAACAGGCAGGGGTGGGTTTGAACCCAGGATGCCTGAGCTCTGCAGTGCTAGCTTTTGGTCCACATGCTACGAGCTGGTGTGGGCTAGTTCAGTCGACCACCGATTTCCTCACACATGGTAGATGAAAGCAAAAAAGTGTGCACAGGTGCGATTTAAGCTTGGTCAGCATAATCGCCAGGCTTTTTTATGCTCCCGGAGGTGCCAAACTTCTGAAGCACATCAACAAATCCTTCGAATTAACCAGTTCCAAAGGTTAAACTTCGAATTACCGTGCCTTTTCCCCATAGACTTGTATGTGTAATTGCCGGGATCACACTCCTGCTTCGAACTAACCGGAAATTTGAATAAACCAACTTTGAATTACTGAGAGCTGACTGTATATAAAATAAATATGTGTGTTTGAGAATGCTATTTCCACATAAATTGGAAACTCTAATGGAAAAGGGGAGCAATTCTCTTTCTAGACTTTTGATTTCGAGAAGTTAATACTGAGGTGTCTTCAAGCTGAAAAGTCCATGATCAGATTTTTGCAAAAATATACTGGTTTAAATTTAATCTTACTTAACTAAACCATCGTACATCCAATTTCAAGAGTGTTTATGTTGTAGTAAATGCCTTTGCATCCATGGGTTATTACTGGGAGGCAAAAGGAGTTAGGACTGATGCTTGAAATTGTTTGTTTTATACACTAAAGGCCTAGCATCGGCAAACGACGTGCTTCTGGGATGGCAGCACATCATCGCCGACTTCATTTCAAAAGACCGGGCTGTTCTGGACTTCCTGTCAAACATGTGAGCTGCCATCCTTTGTCCTTCCTCAGTATATTTTATATATTTGGTGGGCCACAGGATAGCAGCGTCTGGGAAACACTGATATAGAACATCATTTCCCAAGCTGGGTTCCTAGGAGAATAGGGGCTCCATCAGCCCAACGTACATGCATCTCTAAAACAGTTAGTGCGAGAGACAAGGGCAGGTAGAAGAATGGACAGGATAAGCGCTTGTGCTGTCCAGGCTTCTACTTGTCCTTGTCTTTTGTGCTAACTGTTTCTTAGATGTTTATCCAACTAGGCCATCGACTTACATCATATATGTGCATCATTGTTTATGAAGTCTCTAGGCTTCTGCACTGCTTTATAGCATCAATACTGAGACAGGTGGTCCGATTTTGGTGAAGCCACAGCTTGCATGTAATCAACCAATGATACGTATTTGTCCAGTTTGTGAGTTTGCAATCAACAATATTTTGGTGAGAACGTCTCATCAACCTACAAATGGTGAGAGAGGTCTCGCTGCCTTTGATGTGCTTGTCCTTAGCAGTCCTTTCTTTACCGGTCAGTGTCAGTTTGTGTGTGGCAGCAAAAAAATTTAAGATTTGTAAATGAATCACATGTTGTCAGTGGCTTCCAACATGAAATAGTGGAGAATCCCCATTTCAGCCTGCACCTGATCTCACTTTGCTGTGGCACTCAATTCGTAGCAGATGGTATGTCAAGACCATCGACATACAGTGTTTAAACACAGAATGTGTTTTATCAGCAGATTTTTATGGAGCTCTGTAACGTTTGACTGTAATGGCCGACAATAGTGGCTGGCTGCTTTGCTTTGCCGACTGAGCTATCCAGTGTCGGTGGCTGCTAGCATGTAAAAGGAAATTCACTGGTGCGGCGCGTGAAGGCACTGTCTCTCGCTTCATAGCCTTTCATGTCAAGCTGCATCATCTCACAGTGCTTGTCAGAAATGAGAGTGAATGTCCGGTAAGTGGTGCCGTTCAGATGCCCTTCTCTTCCCTAGAAGGCCTATCACATATTCTGTGCTTACCAGTCTGTCAGCATGATCAGGCTTGTAAAATGTTCTTGTTTTATTTTCGTCTGCAAATGTCGCTTTTTATCAGACCAACCGCTTTCTTCAATTGTGTTAGCAGACGAATCGTCGACGGACGCCATCTTCGCTCTTTTTGTGAGAGGCAAACTATGTCTTGCTCTCTCGGTGAGCAAAATCGGACTCCAGTAGGGTTTCTCGGCTAGCACTCCAAACGGATGGGCATTCCTCATGTTAGAAAACGCCCCTGGGGCCCTAATCTATACGGCGGGACCTAGGGACCGGGACGCTGCCGCCTGCTGCGATTGGCCAGCTCTGCACATCTGACCAATCGCAGCAGGCGGCGATGTCCCAGTCTCTTGGTCCCGCTTGGTCCCGCTGTGTAGATTAGGGCCCCTGATGTGGGAGCTGCCCCTGCCAGGTCCAAGTCTCCGGGGATAATGCTGACGGCCACCAAATCTTCGTCTGCCGCCAAGAAAGCCAAGGAGGCTCTGACGGAAGGCAAGCAGCAGGACCATTCCGACAAGAAGTATGACAACTACATCAACTTCTCCAGGGATGTCAGATCGGTCCAGCCGTACCAGGCAAGATCGGTTCCTGCTTCTTACCTTCACCCCCCGTCTCATTTGTTTAGATGCGAAAGCATTTCCGAGCAAACCCTACACACTTCCGAGTCCATAGCTCGGTTTGTAACCAGCGAAGCAGCCGGCATGGGTCTGTTATACATAAGCATACAAGAGTAATGCACCCAACAAATATGATGCAGTATATTAGCTTCTGAACAGAAAGTGGAGTGAACGAAGGTCTCTTAATTGGCTGTTCAGAGGGAAACATTCAAATTGTAGAGAAAAACATTTGCATTCAGATGGTTTTTTTTTTTTTTTTTTGGCAGCGGCAGCGGCTCGTGGCACAGCGCTTACGATTTCATCTGACCTTTACAGTGACTGTGCTACAAACAGCTCGTCGTCGAGGCGGCTTCGCCGAGTCATCAAGCCCACGTACCAGGAGGAGCTGCAAACACGCTGCACGAGTTGCCAGACCACAAGGACTAGCAGCTATAAAAGCAAGACCAGCGACTCTGCAGGACAATTTGGCAGCGGCAGCGGCTCGTGGCACAGCGCTTACGATTTCATCTGACCTTTACAGTGACTGTGCTACAAACAGCTCGTCGTCGAGGCGGCTTCGCCGAGTCATCAAGCCCACGTACCAGGAGGAGCTGCAAACACGCTGCACGAGTTGCCAGACCACAAGGACTAGCAGCTATAAAAGCAAGACCAGCGACTCTGCAGGACAATTTGGCAGCGGCAGCGGCTCGTGGCACAGCGCTTACGATTTCATCTGACCTTTACAGGTTAGTGTGGGATCTGGGCCAATTATTGTTTATTTACGCCGCTGCTGCTGCCAAGCAAACTTCTTTGATTTGTTGATGTGCTAGAATGCCTCTAGATTCGATCTGCATTGTATGTAAAGAGGTGTTATCCGACGTAGAAGTTTCTATTACGTGCTGTGAATGTGACTCTTTTTACCATCTTGGTGCGTGCTCAGGTGTCACAGCCGTAGCCTTCAAGTCTAAAAACGCAAGCGCGTGGAAAAGTTGGCAATGTTCTACTTGCCAGAGAGTAAAACAAAGAGGAGGCCCATCCGGTAGGAAGGGGGAAGTGGTCGACATGCCTACACTATTGGTAACCATCAACGCCAAACTAGACAGCCTAATGAGTCTAAAAGAAACCGTGACCGGAATCGAAACGTCAATGCAGATGCTATCTGATAAGTATGATAAGATTCTCGAGCATATTAACCATCAGGACAATGAAACAAAGGCAGTGAAAAAGCGTCTTGAAGCTCTTGAACGACTAAAAACCGGCGAGGAAATTGAACAGTTAAAACGCGATCTAAGCGATATGGAATGGCGCAGTAGGCGACCCAACCTCGAAATCTACGGGATCCCTGTAGCTAAAGAAGAGAACCTCTTGGTTCGTGTTAATGAAATTGGAGCAAGACTAAACCTTCCAGAACTGACTGACGGCGATATCGTAAATATGCACAGACTCCCGGCAAAGCAAGATAGAAATCCAGGCGTAATTGTGCGTTTCGCACAGCAGACCACTCGCGACCGGTGGCTTGACAAAAAAGGAGAACTCAGGCGTAGTAGAAGCAACGTTTTCTTCCAAGAAAACTTGACGAGACAGAGTAAGGCCCTTTTGTGGGCGGCTAAAGAATGGGCAAAGCGAAATAACTATCAATACGTCTGGCACCGGAATGATAAGGTGTTTATCAGGAAACAAGACGGCGAGAGGGCGCTTAAAATCTCGGATGCTGCCGACCTTGATACGATTCTGTGAATATCACTTACTGTTTTTTCCTCCTTGTCCTTTTTGGGGTGAATGACCGAAAGCACCTTTTTTCTACCGCAAAACGTGAAAAGCTATCTCGGTGAAGATCTAATGTCATGCGTGACGTGTTTTCATTTAAATACTCAGTCAGCCAAAAACAAAGCTGTTGACCTTGAGTTGCTTTTCGATCAATTTGGTTTTCACTTTGATGTTATAATGCTTACCGAAACTTGGTACACGGATGAAGCTGATGTTCTGAAACTGCCGTCGTATCGTTCTTTTTACGTCAATCGCTCAGAGAAGCGTGGTGGCGGTGTGGCCATCCTGACTAAAGACTCTCGCTGTGAATTAATAAAAGATTTCAGCTGCGTCACACAGGATTACGAGATGCTTTGTGTTCGTAGTAAAGATAATATTTTTGCTGTTATATACCGACCCCCTAGTGGCAGTCTTGAAACCTTCTTTGAGTACTTTGAGTCCTTCTTAATATTTGTCAATGAAGGAAAGTATAATGTTACTTGTGGTGGAGACTTTAACATTGATATGTGTACGGACACTACTGTTAAACGCACATTTACGACTTTAATTAATACTGGCGGATGCAGAAACGTTATCAACAGCCCCACGCGAGTTACCTGCCAATCCAAAACACTAATAGACTTGTTCATATCAAATCGCTCGACAGAGCATATAAAAGCTGGTGTTGTATGTTGCGATCTTAGTGACCACCTCCCAATATTTATTTCTGACAAATATATGAAACGGGAGGCAAATAAGAAGCAGTGTACAATGTTTCAAAAAATAACACTTGATGGACTAGACCATTTTTTAACCGCTCTATCAGATATAAATTGGGATAGCGTACTCAACCAGGATACCGCCGAAGAGGCCTACAATATATTTATGGAATTGTTTTCTGAGCAATATTTGACACACTTTCCCTTCAAATCTATGAAAACTTCTAAACGCATTAAAAAACCGTGGGTTACCCCCGAACTGCATTGTAACATTCGTACGAAAAATGCGTTATATGCAAGATTTGCGAAGTCCAGAGATCAAAACGATCTAAGAGTCTTCAAAACATACCGCAACAGCTTGACAAAAGAGCTGCGGCGAGCTAGACAAAGCTATCATTTTAACGTGTTCAAATCAGCGCAGGGTCATGCCGATGTCATATGGAAAGAATTAAACGCCCTCTTAGGTCGAAATCGCTCCCGCGGCTCTATTGTAAAGATTGTCAATGACGGTGCTGAACTAACTGGGCATGCGTTAGCGAATGCCTTTAATGAACATTTCATAAGCATTGCAGATAAAACTAACACCGTAAATTCTTGCTTGTTTCGTGACACCAGAAATAATAACTCAATATTTTTAGAGCCAGTCGTTGACGCCGAATTAATTTCTGTAGTTTTGCAACTTAAAAATAGTGGTAGTTGTGATGCGGATGGCATACAGATAAGGCCAGTGAAGCATGTTGTTCATGCGTTGGCGCCGGTACTAACCCATATATTTAATCTTTGTATAACCACAGGTGTATTTCCTAAACGTATGCAGATAGCAAAGGTGTCCGTCCTACATAAAAAAGGGAGTGTTAACGATATGGGAAACTATAGGCCAATTTCGATACTACCTGTGTTTTCGAAGATACTCGAGAAACTGCTTCATATAAGACTAATTAACTTTTCTAATAAGTATAACTTAATAACAGCCTCACAGTTTGGTTTCATAAAACAAAAGTCAACGGAATCTGCTCTGCTTGTTCAGAAAGAACACATACTTCAAAGCTTCGAGGAAAAGAAGATGGTTCTTGGTATCTTCGTAGACTTCACAAAGGCATTTGATTGCCTAAGTCATAAAATTTTAATTGAAAAACTAGACACTTACGGTATTCGAGGGCACGCACTGAAGTTAATAAAATCTTACCTGGCAGACCGAATGCAGTTTGTTTGTATTGATGGGCACTCCTCAACTACAAAACCAATCATTTCTGGTGTCCCACAAGGTAGTATATTGGGTCCTTTTCTTTTTAATATATTTGTAAATGATATTGTTAACATTACTTCCGAAGCAAAATTTGTAAACTACGCCGACGACACCACTTTACTTTTCACTGCGGAAAACGTTGATCTGCTGTTCGAATCGGCAAACCTGGCGCTTTCTAAGTTGAACGTCTGGAGCCGCATCAATTCGTTACAAATAAACGTTGCAAAGACAAAAGCCGTGCTTTTTCGTCCCAAGAGCAAACTTGTAAATATCACCAAACATATCGTAATAAACTCAACCAGGATTGAGATCGTCAATGCTTTTAAACTGCTTGGTGTCACTTTTTCCGAGAATATGTCTTGGGACGATCACATCAATTACGTTACCTCGAAGTTATCACAGATAGTCGGTATCCTAAACCGCAACCGCTATGTACTGCCAACAAATGTTAAATTATTAATATATAACTCCTTGTTCTATTCCCATTTAATTTACGGCCACCTAGTCTGGGGTAAGACGACAATAGCAAATCTTGATAAAATAAATATTTTGCAAAAAAAAGCCGTGAGGGCAATCGCGAATGTAGATTTTGATCATCCTACAGCCAATCTATTCAAGAAGTTTCACATTATTAGTATATATTCTCTCTACGACTACAGACTTTCCACTACTCTAAAAGTGGAAGAAATTAGAAATACTAGCTTTCTAGTGAGCCTTGGACGCCTTTCCCAATATGTTCATCCTTATCCTACTCGTTCTGCGAGCTGTTGGGAGGTGGTCACTCCCAGAACGAACTACGGAACACAAATGCTCAGATACACTATTCCGAAATTATTAAATTTATTTCCCGAAAAAAACTTCGATTGGGAGAAATTATCTGTCAAGGATATTCGGACCCTTCTGTTTGATGTCGATCGTGTGCATAAATCCTTTTCTCCTGTTTTTTATTAGTTATGTCGCGATTGTATCACGTTTCTTTTTTCTTTTTTCAAAAGCTAGAAAGTGACAAAAGTTAACAATCCTGTGAATCAGCCTTAACAAAGTGTGTGATGACGAAGGTCTTTTCTGCTATTCTTTCTATAGCTTGTGCTCTGTATGTATTTTATACTGTGAGTATCACGCTGCTCTGCTGCTTGTAGGCGGTTGGGGACCTCGTCAAGCTGTTTTCTACAGCTTTTTGTCCCTGGTCGCCACCATAAAAATCTTATGGTGAAAATAAACGATTATTATTATTATTATTATTATTATTATTATTAGAGAAACGTTTTAGATATAGTTTAGCTACAACAAAAGTCCTTAATTGGTCACGGAAAGCTTGTATGCAAGAAGTTGACAGTGACAGGTCAGAAAATTGTGAATTGTTTTTTAGTAAATCGGAAAGTTATGTGAATTGTTTTTAGTAGATGAGAAAATGATGGGAATTGGTTTTAAATAGGGGTGTCGCAAACTTTTGTTGAACCGGATTTTATGTCGAACTTTTGGTTCAACTGGGTCGAACCGGTTTGACGAACCTTTGAACTTTGAACCAGATTCGACCAGTTCGACTTTGTAGACAGTGTGGCCATACAAGCATGTCTAGGTTTGGAAAATTTTTTTTGTATGCAAAGGGTTATTTTAATTTTATTAACAGATGCAATTAAAAGAAACTAATTCTAATCACTGAAGAAGTTAATAACTTATTTTTTTGTACTGTATTAACCTAAATAACCAATCGGGGCTGCCCTTAATTCATCCCTTAGCCATCCCCATCCGATCCGATTCGAAGCCAACTGGCCAGCCTGTCGCGCATGCGCATAGCATTCGAACCTGAGTCAAACCTTTGTTGAACTTTTCACAGAAGTTAGAAAAAGTCAAACCCGGTCGAACTCAAACCTTGACCGGTTTGTAACACCCCTAGTTTTAAATGTGATAAGACTTCAAGACGTTAACTCAAGTGTTTTGAGAATTTCCACTGCAGTTCCTAAGCATAATAATAAGACATTTGCGCATAAGAAGACGGCGCAAAATACTTTTGCATATTTCAACGACAACCTGCGCAGCATTTTCGGCAACAATTATTTTTTTTTATGTAGGGCTTCTACACCTTAGCACTGTAAATAAGCCAGGGAAATCTGCACCTGTACGTAAAAGAGGCCGCACCTCCACGTGGTGAATGATGTTGATTGGGGCGAAGCTCTGGTGGTGCTGATGATACTGATTTTATTGTTCATAGGTAGTGCTGATGGTGCTGATTTTTTCTTATTGCTCATAGATAGTGCTGAGTTCCGGGTTGCATTTCGACTTCATTATTACTGCTTTATGGTCGGTGAAATGCAGAGCCAGTGGTTCTTGTAGCGGATCAGCTTGGATCCGCTAGAAGCTGTGGGAACGCATCTCCACCGCTTAAGTTAACGGTCCATATCAGAAAGAGAATGTGTGGTGTGGATCGTGATTATATACGCAGTTGAGCATTTGACCGCAGCACCCTCTCGTCAATAAACGTTGAGCCAATGCATGCAAAGTTTAACGCGATTATATACGCGTTTGACTGCAGCGCGCTCTCCTGTACATACGTAGAGCGGCTACATGCAACGTTGGAGTGTAGCGTAGTGGTTAAGACGTCTGCCTCACAAGCAAGCGGTCCTGAGTTCAAACCCCCGTGCGGGCGTACGTTTTTTTTTAAAGTGGGCCTATCTCGGAGGCAGTGCAATCGATGTGAGCTCGGACGCCGGATGGATGGACAAGGCTAGACCCTAAGGAGCTTCGCCCCTAAAAAACTTGAACGTTCACCGAATGTTTGATGCAGGCTTTGCAAAGTCTGTATCTAGTATTTTTCTAGCTTTATATTCCAGGAAAACAGCGGCGTCGCGCATTGTATAAAAATAAAGTTGGTGAGCACTTGCACAACTTCAACTCGTCGCAGCAAACCGAGCATGCCTAAGCTATCATGTGCTCTCTTCCTCCGCTTTTCTGTCGCTCTCTTTCTCATTTCTTCTCTCGAGACAGTTGATGTCTGGTTGATGTCTGTGCTTACAATTTGCCGCATTCTGCTCTCGTTTTTACCCCTCCCCCCTTCCCCGGAACCAACTAACAAGAACCATAGTTTCAGCACGTATTTTCTAATTTCTGGTATGCAGCATTTTTAATGTATCAAATGGTGGACAGGTAAAAGCTGCTGCACCAGGGCATTAATTGCCCTGGTGCATGCAGCTGACTTTTGTTTGAACCAACGGACTGGTTTCCAGAGGCCGTGGTGCGATTTTCGCCACACCCTTTCGCTCCGTTCGTTCGCTGGTTAAGTTCACTTTCCCTGTGACGTAAGAGGGAAAAAGTCTTTTTGCACGCCTCCAATGACGCGCCAGTGTTGATGTGCACTCCTCTTACGACGGGACAGGGGCATAGACACATGATTTCGTTTCCCAGTATGCACAACGTACGCGACAGCGTAAAACTGAGGCACAGCATCGGCGCCGTTTGCGCGAAACCGCCGACAGCCGGGAGGAAAGATCGGCTGTTCGAACACAACAGTGCGCAAACCGTAGGTGGCAGTCGAGGGTAGCTCTGGTGGCTGCATCGGAAACTGCCGACCCCCAGAGGAACAAAATGGCTCCCTGAAGGCAACACCAGGCAGGCCGTTGTGAAGTCGGAATTACTATCCTTCGCCGTGTCGGAACCCCCGCAATAAATATGTACCAGCGCATTTCGTCGAGAATCGACGAATTAACAACAAAAACATCTTTTTTTATTTTTTATTTGTTGTGCATTAGGTGCTGGCCATCAACCGGGGAGAGTCTCAGAAGATGCTCACGGTGAAGGTGGTCCTGCCACCATCGTTTCCAGTGTCGGTGCGGAACTTCTGTGCCAGCCGGGTGCGCGAACAGGGGGCCAAGATGTATGGGGGGACGCTGCGGCTGGTGGAGAGTGCGGTCGAAGACGCCTACAGCCGCCTGCTGGAGCCGCACCTTATTCGGAGCATCAGGTGAGTACCTGCCGCTATGACGGGTGGGGGGAAGGGAAGAGAAGGAAGGGGGGGGGGGGAGAGGAAAGGCGAAGAGGGGCCTGTTCTCCATTGCCCTTTACTTACTTTTGGGGCAAGCCATCGATTCTACGACATATCTATGGTCACCGATATAGTGAGAATGGCATTGAGGCGTCGTCGAAGGAGGTAAGTCATGCTAGGGGAGGAGCAACTGAAGCTCCTCCCTACCATTTTCACCTTGTCGGCGGCTATAGAACCACTATTCTTTGCAAAAAAAATGCTCCAAAAGCCAGCTGGATTCGCGGTTAAAAGGGTATACTCCAACTTAATGTAACGTGTATGGAAACTAACGAAAGGTTGGACGTTTCACCACTTATAAGGATGGCATCCTCAGTCACTATTCATATGCTATGAATAGTGACTGGCTATACTCCGTTTCAGTTTGCGTCCGGACGCAGCGGATGCTACGAGCTAACTAAGTCAATCCCGCTCTGCGGACGTAGCCGTTTTCTGCACATCTCTGTGCCCCCTCTTTAAGGTTACATGACACTCGCACGGCCTTGGATTGGCTCCGATGCCTTGTAGCATCTGCTGCGCTCAGACGTAAGGTGAAACGGAGTATAGCCTATCGTCCCTTATCTTTGGGTGTACACTGAATGAAGACGTAAAGATGTGTCTTTTTGTTTGTTTCTTTCTGTGCAATGTCATGGCGACTCGGAGTAAGCTTTTTAAATCCTCCTTTTGATAGCTACTTTTAAAGAGACACTAAACTACTCCTAAAGCTTTTCTGTTTTTTTTTGTTTTTTGTTTTCTTGTAAAGTGATTAGTGTGCTTCAAGTAGTCTTTTCTTTTTTTTGCAAAATTTGCAGAAGTGATCGGAATCAATATTTGTGCTGAGAATCCATGAAATACCGTATTTACTCGCACAATGAACGCACTCGCGTAATGAACGCACCTCCCAAGTCGGCTGTCGAAATTTCGACTTTTTTTTTTCACTCGCGTAATAAACGCACCCCAAACTCGGAGGTCAAAATTTTGACCCCCTCCTCCCACGCGCGCGAAATGAACGCACTTTTCTATCCTGGTGCAGCGAGGTCAGCGAGGTCGCGAATGCATGGGCAGCGTGGTCGAACAAAACGCCTTGCAAAAGACATTAAAAAAATTCGCAAAGATCCAACCGAAGCAAGAAAAAAAACATGCGAGATGAGCTTTTTTTTTTTTTTTTTGAACAGCGCAGTCTGGACTTTGGGTTCGCGCGCCGCCCGCGCAAGGAGGTAAGAAAGAGAAGCGGAGAAGCGCTCTAAGCGAACGAAACAGCTTGCAAAAGGCGGCAAAAAGAAACAAAAGAAATCCACGGAACTAAGAAAAAACAAAAATAAACGACCTTTTTTTTCTTTTTTCTTTTTTTTTTTTTTTTTGCACAACGCAGTTTGGTTATGGGGGGTCGCGCGCCGCGCGCATGTAGGTAACAAAGAGGAGCGGAGAAGCCCTCTAAGCAAACGAAACAGCTTGCGAAAGGCGGCAAAAAGAAACAAAAAGAAAAACAACCCACGGAACTGAGAAGCTTTTTTTTCTTCTTTTCTTTGCATGGCCCAGTTTGGTTACGGGGAGGTCGTGCGTCGCGCGCCGCGCGCAAGGAGATAAGAAAGATAAGCAGAGAGCCCTCGCCTAAGCAACGCCTAAGCAAACAAAACAGCTTGCAAAGGCAGCAACAAAAAAAAACCAAGGAACTAAGAAAAAACAAAAAACAGGATTTTTTTTTTTCTTTTGCACGGCTTAGTTCGGTTACGGGGTAGGGCGCCGCGCGCAGAGAGATAAGAAGTTACTTCGATTTTTCAGGATAAAAGGTCCGTTCATTATGCGAGTAGGAGTAAATAACCGACGCAAAAATTTTACTTCGCGTAATAAACGCCCCCCCTAACTTTGCATCGATTTTTCGGAAAAAAAAGTGCGTTCATTCTGCGAGTAAATACGGTAGCCAACTTTCATCGCATTGTTGCAGTCACAGGAATAATGACTCGGCAACAACTCTGACGGAATCGCTCGACCCTCCAACGGACGTGTCTGTAATACACCAAACCTAACAGATTTCTTCGCTAAAAATACGAGAGTTTTCGCTACAGCCGTCGGGTATCGCTGTATTGAGAGCAAGTATGAAGAAAGGAGAGAGCCGGGGGGCTGGAGACCCTGTCTCCTCTACTTCCGTGCTCCTTCAATACATATTTTAAAAATCAGCGGCTTAGTGCATTTTAATAGCCATCAGATATATGTTTCGTGTAGGCAATCAGTAAATGTTAGGTGTTTCCACATCAGATCGTGCGCTGATGATCTGGATCATATTTTATTTATTTCTGTAAAATATAAATGTTAAAGCCATGTTCATCGGAGGAGCATTCAGCTATAATGCGAACGCCGTAGGTAGTCATTGTCTTCCGGAGATAATAAAATTTCGAAGCTCAAGGCGTAGAGATTGCCAAGGTTTCGCTATGGTACTTTGCTCAGCCGTCAGTTTCCCATGCACGTGATAATAATTTTTTCTACTTATTTTATGAAAAGCTTACGACACATATGCAAAGTATTACAAATTAAAAAAATATATATATATTTTTTATGCAAAAAATTGACAAAACACGTAAAATGTTCACTGTTTAGAGACATTCACAAATTACGAACTACTACTTCATATAAAATGACGGAAAATATATAAAACTGATGATATTTAAATGCATTTTACGAATATATAAGAAAGATATGCTTAGCCATTATTGTAGTTCTGTTATTAATGCGGAAACACAGTTCATTTCTCTAAATGTAACAAAATTGCACCTCAATATTAAAAAAAAAAAAAAAAAAAAGCTCCATTTTTTTTTTGTTAACTATTTACAGAGACTTCAACTATATTGTGACGGCAAAACATTGAGTAACATGTGACCTCCTTAAAAGAAAAACGACAACAAAACTTCACTCAGATTGAGCTAGCTTGTCGTCGTTATAGGGGCTTTGCCGCACGACGTCGGCTCCAAGGGGAGATCTTTGCAACTGACAAAGGCTGCGCAGGGGTGCTGCTCTATCGAAGAGTATAGAGTCATGCTGGGCCCTAGCTAAGTTTTGTATTTGTGTTTACATCCATTGCCTTTTAAGACCCCTCTCCTTATCCCCTTCCATATGGGCCATTAGCTCACAAAGTACTGTCGGCGGGCACCACTGCTGCCCGCAGTTGAGAACCGTATGCACAGCACATTACCGCGAAGCCCAAAGCCGTCACGCGAGGAAGGCCTGTCACTGCGAAAAAGAGACAGAAGTATTATCTGGAGAGTCACTATTTTGGTGTTCAACATGGGGTGACAACAAGCAAACCAGCTTACCCTTTCTAAGTACCCACGCACAATCAATGGAATACATATGGAACTTGATAACCACAAGTGCTTTGTTGTTAGTTGTTTTTATGTCAGTTGATAGAGTGATGGTCGAGATCATATTTTGTATATTTCTGTAAAATATGCACTGTATGGAAGTCATGTCCTTGGGAGAAGCACTCAGCTATACATACAGGGTGTCTCTCGAAACGCATGCCTAATCGTTCCTGTGAAAAGTGTGCATCGCACAGAAAAAGGGTTGATGTAATATATATTCCTGCCAAAGGGCAAATTTAGAAAAAAAATAAATGTTTGATATAATTAGGTTAATAATTGCTTTTAGTAATTAACTTAATAATTAATATGTTTCAAGGTACCATTTCAATTACAAAGGGTGGTGGGCATAATTGAAAACTTCTAAATTTACCCACATTATGGAGATATAAGGCATGCGCAGCCTTTTACGGCACTCCGTAAAATACACTCCATTTTGACATGTTTTGAAAAGGGGGCAATGCAAGGAAGCAAGGTCTTAGGAGGCAATGCAAGGAAATAGGAAGCAGGGCCTTAGGAGGCAACGCAAGGAAATACAAACATAAAGCTAAACTAGGGACACCTTACCTTTTTACATCCTATGACAGAGCAGCACCGCTGTTGCAGCCTTTGTCAGTTCTGGGAATTGTCTCTCAAGCCGGTGTCATGTGGCAAGGCCTCTGTAGCAAAGACAACATAGTAATAAACTTGAGCAAAGGTTTCTGGTCGTTTTTCTCGTAAGGAGGTCATATGTTACTCAACATTTTTGCCATCACTAGTTAGTTCAAGTCACTGTAAACGGTTAAAAAGAGTTTAAAGAAAATATAAAGCTGCTTTTTATAATATTGATGTGCAATTTTATCACATTTAAAGAAATGAGCTGCATTTGTGTATTAATAACGAAACTACAGTAATGGCTAAGCACATTCTTCTTATATATTCATAAAATGATTTTAAAGATGATCATATCAATACATTTTGCTTCGTTTTATATGAAGTAGTTTGTGTGTAAACAATTTGTGAATGTGTCTCTAAAACATGCTTATTTGACATGTTTTATACATTTGTTTGCATAGAAATATTTTGTTGTAATTTTTAGTATTCTGTTTAAATGTTGTAAACCTTTCATAAAATAAGTAGAAAAAATTATTACTATAAAAAAACAAAGGTGCATGTTTCGGTGCATGCTTCGGTGTGAAATTGACGGCTGTGTAAGCTTACCATAGTGCAACTGGTTATCTCCACGCCTCCAGCTTTGAAATTTTACATCTCCCAAAGAAAATTACCTAATTCGTCTGCACATAGCTGAATGCTCCTCCCAAGAACATGGCATTAACCTATATTTTTTTGCATAAATATAAAAGAGTATGACCTAGACCATCATTGCACAATCTGACATGGAAACACCCTGCCATGCAAAAGTTACATTCTGAATGTTCAAACAGTCATGTGGGAGAGGAGGGTGCCAATGTCTGAGAGGCATGTTTGCACATAAAAAAATATTTTTCTGCATTGCCATTCTTTTTTGGTGTGTGACACCATCCTGAAATGCTTGAGACGATAAAACGAAAATGAACTTTAAGGTGTCAGAATCCCTGCAGGGACTCTGACTCTGTCCAATGGGACTGTGGTGCCCACAACCTGCTAGCGCACAAACAGGCATCGTATGACGCAGGTAAGCTAACGGTGACCGTGGTGAAGTTAGACAGCAGTGCAAAAGGGCACCAATATTTGAGCATAATTATTTGAGCATAATTCTTGAGTTGCTCTTGTAGACGTGCCAAGATGTGGATACGCTTTCTTTAGATGGGCCAATGGGTGGGTCAACTTTGCAAATAGATCTTGAGTTGGGGCCTGGCAGTCGGGATCCGACCTCGCTCGTTCTTCCAACAGGTCGACGCTCACCAAAGTGGCGGAGCAGGAGTCCGTGAACGTGTTTCGTTCAAACCTGCGGCAGCTTCTCTTGACACCTCCGGTGCGGGGTCACGCAGTCTTGGGCATCGACCCAGGCTTCAAGCACGGCTGCAAGTTAGCAGCTGTGTCAGCGTCAGGTCAGCACTTTCCCCCGCTTTCATTGTCTGCTGGTTTCAGTATGCACTTTTATGCGGGGTGTTCATTAAATTTTGCCTCCTGGGCTGTAACTTTTTTTTTTTCAGTGATTTAATTGAAAGATGTTACATTCGAATGAAAGTTTGGAACCTCCTCTTTCCCAGGAGCAGGTCACTTTTCGATACAGTCACCACCAGTGGCGATGCACTCTCGCTGCACTGCTCTCCGCATGCCATCGTAGAAAGATGAGGGCAGCTGCTAACGACATCAACGGCGCACTGCGTTGGTGACCCCTTTGTTGCTTGCAAACCGTGTATCCGTCAGATGTCCCTTCCTCTTTGGAAACAGCAAAAAGTTTGATGGCTCGAGGTCTGGGCTGTAGAATGGCCGAGGCGAAACATCTTGGAACCGCAGCTCCTCCAGCACGGTTCGAGTGTGTTTTTCGGATTTGATGTTCGCTTAGTTCGAAGTGTTTGGCTGTTTCCGTGAGCTTCGACTAATCGAGAGCCCACCATATCTCAAAATTAAAAATAACTGTTGAGAAAACGCCAAATGAAGGTGTCATGCCAAAAGTAACATTCAAGTTTTCCTGTGCTTTCCACTGGGGTGGCATCACATATTAAATACAGCTTGCAGTTTTTTTGTTCGGATGACGTGAGCTTTTGCAGCGTTCGTTTGATACCATGAAACTTTTTGTGACCCGTCGTAAACAAGCTGTATTGCCCTTATATTACATCTGGCATCATGTTTCCAGTGTTGCCATTAGAGTCTGGAAGAATGGCGAGGACCAAACTTCAGAACTCAATAACTTTGCAAAAAAAAAAAAAGTTATTGTGACTCATAATTTTGGTTATACTGTAGACTCATTAATTCAAACTCCAGAAAGCCACAAATTTTGTTTGAATTATCGGAAGTTCGAACTATCAAAGATTCAACTAAATATGATGCAAGATAAAATTATGATTTGTTACATGGATGGCTGCACATACAAAGCAGATATTTGATGATTTCCTCTACACAGGCCTACAACAGATGAAACATTAGTGAAATCTATGAAATAAGTTTATTCATCACTGCAGAATGATGTCTATCGTGGACTGTTTAGATGGCACGTGACACTTCAAAATAAAATTAAGTTTGTTCATCCAGTCAAAGAAGTTGTCTATTCTGGACTCTTAGCCTTGTTGAGAGCACTTCTTACCAAGCACTGTGCTGCAGAGAAGCAATACCTGCAGAAGCGAAGTATTGCTTCTTTGCAGTGCACTGGCGCTCAGTAACAAGCGTGTTATCCGGGGCCACAAGAACAAAAAGCATGAATGGCGCCAAAGCAGTGTTTGACAACCAAAATTTTTAAATTTGTTGGTATGAGCTTGAAGTATGAAATATCAGAGTTTGAATTATCGCGAGCCTACTGTGCTTGTTTGGTTTTGTCTGTTAATGTGTTGATCCAATTTTAAGGCAAATTGGGGACAAAAATTTTTTATTCTTTTTTATTTTATTTTTTGACAGGCTTATAGATTTTAAAGCATACGAGGGCCTCTGATTGTGACCAGTTTGTGTGAAGCAACCTTTGCCCTACGCTTCTTTCCAGGCAAGCTTTTGCAGCATAGCGTGATCCACCCTCACGCAAGTCCTGCCTCACGCTATTCAGCTGGCAACATTCTGAGGCAGCTGGTGGTCACTCACAAGTGAGTGCTTCTATACTTGGTTTACTTCTTCATATTAGGCCACCATGCACTAGAGAGAAATTCTCTAGCCCAGTTATTCTCAGATGAGGTTCCGCAGGACTTTTGGGGCAGAGACTCGAACCGAAAAATATAATGTTTCAGTTACAGTTACCGTTTCCTGTTGATATCGGTTTCGTCTAGGTTTTTTACAGTTTTAATTTTTCCGGTTTCGGTTAGCAATTACACGTTCCTAAAAACCATAGTGTTTTTCGGTTTCTCCAATAATTTATTTTAATGAAATGCTAGACAGCTGTTTATGATAAGGAAAGAGGGACATTGAAGACAAACAGACAAGACAGGCTTTTGCTTTCAACTATGTTTTGTTGAAAGCGAAAGCCTGTCTTGTCTGTTTGTCTTCAATGCTCCTCTTTCCTTACCGTAAATTAGAAACCAACACGCTCAACCATCTACACTAGACAACTGTTTTGCAATAAATGGTTTAAACTTTAAAGTAGTCCCAGATACCCAACAACGAAACATTCCCAATCACAAGAACTCAAAAACGTCTTAGTACTTCTAATTAATGAAAAGTTGAACACATTTCTAGCTCCAACACTTGTTCACGTTCACTACATCTTATTTGCATTATATTGTTTGTAACCCAAGCATACATGTTACCCCCGCTACTCTGGGATTCATCGCATTTTATATAATAAAAATAAACATTGCTACTTTGTTGTTCGGCAGCGTTTGGAAAGTAAATGGTTCTTCTAGTGTGGGCCTGAAGCACCATTCATGTCTTCGTCGCTATAGCTTGTTGCAACTTGCCCACACTGTAGGAAGGAGCAGAACTATAGCCCTCCTCTAGTCAAATACTGGTATGTGGAATAGAGTAATAAAATTGAGAGCTGGGCTAGGAAGACTAAGGAGAGGATTGAACAACAAGGAAAGCTGTAAAAATATGACCTGTGTGGTTGTGCGCTGTTACACCTATGTCATGTTTGCTATTTCCAAGCTTATGCATGTGGTTATAGAAGCGCACGTTTCTCGCTGTCTGATTTTGTGACGCTAGAAAAATTGTGCATTTATATAGTACTAGTGCCATTCTTTTCCGGGGTTTGAAGGCGATGCTTCTACAGATATGTTGCAACTAGGTATATGTCACAAACTTTCATCAAAACGGATTTTTACGTCCAACCTCAAGGTTCGACTGTTTCGACGAACCTTCAAACTTTTAACCAGGTTCTACAAGGTTCGACTTTGTGAACAGTGTGGCTAGACTTTGATACAAGCATTATCTCCCTTCGCCGTTTATGAGGAAGTTGAACGAGGGGTGGGTGGTTAAGGGGATTATCTTTCTTGTAGAAAACCGAGCACCAAGATCATACGTCGGTGGTGAAGTTTAGAGCTACAAACTGACAAATATTGAAAGGACGAACGATAGAGTCAAATTGCAAAGGAATTGCTGTACACAAATGAAGATGCAAGTCGATTCGTCAAGCCTTTATATTAGCGTTATGATCGAGCTTAAATGACAAGCACACCGCACAACATAGCACTAACATTTCTTTCCCTCCAGTTCACACCTGGTACTCTTATCTGGACACTTGGGGAAAAAGTCGGCGAGAAATCTGGCGGCTGTGGTTGGGATGGCGCCAAGGTCAAGTGCGGCTTTGGCCAATCACGGCTGCCAGATTCCTCGCCGACTTTTTCGACAAGTGTCCAGGTTAGGGCCCGTGGGCTGTGGAATAACGCAACCTATAGTCTAGGCTAGTGCGCAATTCAGCTGAAAAAAAAAAAAAAACGGCGATCACTTGTTTGTGCTGTGTCACACTTTTCGCTCCCGTTGAGTTCAGAGTTCAACCACCCCCAGGCTCAAATCACTCTTGGAAATTACAGATACGAACGTGGGTTTTGCTTAGGCAAACTCCTGAAGCAACCAGCCCGACCCTTGTCTGGACGTCTCGTGTTCGCTCATGGAGATTTGCAATATGTTACACAAAAAAAGAAAATAGCGTTTTTTTTTTGTTTTTTGTTTTTTAATTTATTATAAATTTTTAAGGGGGACACTGGCTATAGATTTAACTTCTGAATTACTCAAGTGATTGGAATGAAATTTGCAGGGGAGATTTAACGTCAGATGTAGGTTTACTGTGCAAACTTTCAGCTCTCTAGGACAACTTTGCATACCTGCATAAGACGATGTATCACTCTTCACTAAGAAATCTATGATATGCAAATGAAGCTATTAAGCACCATTTCGACTGCTTGAATATGAAGTGGGGGATGTGGGACTTTGGGCTATCTAGTTTTTATAACTCAAAACTATTTGGCATATGGTTATCAGATTTAGTGTAAGGGTGAATAAATAGTTTTTAAAACCAAAAACCTCCAAACTAAAGTGCCTTTTTTCAAAAATAATTTATATTTAGGCTTATGTCCCGCCTTAACTGCTATAGTGTACACAATATGTTGCGAGGTGTGGGTTGTTAATCGCGCATTCTCAACTTTCTTAAAAAACAAGAACATTGCTGGAAAGTCATTCAAGAATCTGACCTTCCACTCGGGAATGCGAGACAGGACACATAGAGTAAAAGCCCAATGGGCCGAAGGATAATTGTGAAAATTGTCCTCCTTTGCTTGTTTTTGTTGAAATCAAGCATGGCGAGTGCAGCACATCATTCATCCGGCCGGCGCCTCTGTCGTCCTCAGCACTGTCGCGCCAGACCTGCCGGTGCCGGCTGCAACTCTGATTTTTTTTCATTATATGCTCGACCGCTAATTCCAATGGAGTACTCTTAATCCTAAATTTAGATTGAACTGAAACATATTACCAACTGCACCACTTGTTGAGGTAACTTTGTCAATTGGCCACGACATTTTAAGATCTCTCAGTGTTATTCTTGAGAAAACCTAATATTTTAATTTTTCGGTTAATATCAGTTACCAATAAATAATTTGTGGTGACGGTTATGGTTTTTATAAATTTCAAAATAACGGTTTCGTTATGGTTACGGTTACTGAAAATATTTCGCCCCTAATTGGTTTTCGGTTTCAATTCTGGTTTGAGTCCCTGTTTTAGGGTTTGCAAAGGCATTCTAGGGATCCGCGAAGCCCAGCCTTATCAGTCAAGCCTGGCAATAAATGTTTTTTTTTCTCAGATTGAAAAGAAATGTTTCAATTTTCGGGCGAGTTTTCTCGTGCATATGTCAATAAAAGAAGTCTACTTCACACTAGCCCTTAGTTATATCCATTTATTAAATCACTCGTAATTAACCTACACCTTTTCCTTTCCCTCATCATGAACGGGGTCCTCCATCATCTCTGCCGATTCACAGGGGGTCTGGGAAGCATCAATGGTTGAGAACCACTGCTCTGGACATGTCACATTGATTACTTTTCATCTACACAAGTGTACATAGCATGACGCCAAAAGTTCAAACAAGTGATGGCCGGTTTTTTCAGTTTTTTGCTTGGAATCGGAAAAATCAAAACTACTGCCCTCTCAAACCAGTGCCATCCCAAAGAATGCAAATAAAGAAAGAATTGCAGTAGTTTGAAAGATAAATGAAAGGTAAAGAGGTCAAACATGCAGCCTCTGATGGGTGGAGGAAACTTTCAGTTTCTATCTCGGTTGCTAAAGCAGTTAACCTTTTGATGTTCGAGCTGTTTCCCCAAGAGATGTTTCCCAGTTTGCAGGTTTTGTTTGCAAAAGAATTTTAGAGGGTCAATGCACAGATTCTTTCTTAATTATCTAGCGGAAGCACATACAGTGCTTGCAAGCTGCTTAGGTTTAGAAGCATCAAATGAAAATATTGAAGTCGAAAAGTTGTCACCTTTCTTCCATTCAGTTTAATTTTGGTGCATCCGCTTCTGTGACATTCCAGCGGCTTCGGATTCCTAAGCGAAGGTACTTTACAGAACTTCTCCGTCGGATGATGTGCTCTCAGCCTCTAAATTTACTAATTCTGATAAGCATTGGAAGTCTGAATTGGAAGAGCCAATGCTCTCATTGGCACAACTGGCAAAGCAACTGGTATGTAAAGTGAGCATCACGAGCGCAAAGCGTCTAATTTGAAAACTACAAACAGGCCAGCAATGCAAAACAATGTGCAAATATAACGTTTACAGTTTACTAAAGACATAACAAATTGCTACAGCTCCTGTGGTGTGCACAGTTTCACGTTTAGGCGACCACTTTCAGATGTGTGATCACTGCCACAGATGTACGGCAATCACCTTTCAAGAGTTAATTGCTTAAGTACAAACATATTGGGCAAGGTTCTCACTTCCTCCCAAATTAGGGGTGCCCCAAAAACATATACAGTCGAGCCCATTTATAAGCCCAGTTATAGGGAAATATTGTATATACTGAACAAATGTTCGTTGCATGCTCCTGAGTGTATACTTTCATGCGTTTTGGGTCCGCTCTTTTTAAAGAAGGAACTCGAAGTGGGGCCACGTGTACGACGTAAATGATTTCCAAAAGCGCAGAAAATATTTGACGAAAATGGTCAAAAATTGAAGGGCAAGTTGTTTGGGTAAACAAAACATTTTTGTTTCCTGATATTGTGGCGCTCGGTGGTTCCAAGTGTCTCAGAGAGAGCATTGGGTAAATTTCTGTCCCTCTGCATGCAGCGGGTTCGGTGCCATCGCATCGAACTCTTTGCAAAACCGCAACAAAAGACAAAAGAGAGCGCATGCGTGCACGTGGAGAGGAGGGCATGGGAAGTTTCGCACGGTTGTTCATTGGCGTGGTCGTTTGGTTGTTTGGTATAATTCTTTTGCTTTGCGGCGCATGCCTCCTTTGCTGCCGTGAGCACCACTTCAAGCGATGGGCGACATCGGCTTCTAGGCAAAGACTTGCTGTGAAACATGAAATCATTGTGCATTGTTCCAAAATTGTGTGGTTCTATTTAGCGACTACTTGGCACTATTCAATTTGAATTCGATTCAAGCTGAAATTTTATTATTTGCACACCCCTGGAATGTTTATATTTGGAGTCTGATTCAGTTCACAAAGTGTGTTACTGTCTTAAATACCCTCATAACTTTTTTTTAATGATATTTGAAAACTTTGAAAGAAGCAAAGCATTTATTATACAGTCGATTCTCGTTAATTCAAACTCTCTTAATTCAAACTTGCGGATAATTCAAACTAACATGCAGGTCTCATCCTATGTGTCTCGATGGGGGGATGCTCCCGATAATTCAAACAATTTGCTTTATTCAAACAAATTTTCGGTCCCCTTTGAGTTTGAATTAACGAGATTTGATTGTAGCTGCTTATAATTCCCTGCCAAACCACATTTGTTACATTTTAGGAGCTTTTATTGTGAACCCACACTCGAGTTGGGCTCTCACCTTGCCCTCCAGTTTAGTTGTCCGGGCTTATTTGGCGAGTGGAATCATTAACAGCGGCTTCCTCTCCAACTCCTCCTCAGCTGTGACCTGATCGCCCTTGGCAATGGCACTGCCTGCAGGGAGACGGAAGCCTTCCTCTCCGAACTGATCTCCCAACGAGCGTTCATGCCGGTCCCGGTCAAGTTTTGGTGCGTTTGGGCCAACGGCCTTGCTTATGATGTGTTGCCTCTGCCGTTCCTTTTTTTTTTTTCTGAAATTGAGGTCTACCAATATCTTCTACAAGACAATACAAAGGAACCTCAGTGAGACACGTAGAAAGAAACAAGAAAAAAAAACATTATTCGGGAAATCATATGATTCAAGCCTCTACCAAGAAATTGCAAAATAGTTCATTTTAGGAAAGCCACTTTTTTTAGGTTGCAGTTGCTGACCGATTTTTCGGACTTCACAGGCACCAAAAAAACATCCGAATAATAGTGCAGTCCAAAAAATCTGCAGATGAAATAACTTGCCTTTATTATGTCTAAGCAGGCTGCCGAAAATAGTGTCTTGCTTCAGGTTACGCTTGCGCGCTTTGTTTCAGGTTATGCCTCCGTTTGCGTTTGACAACTTTTTATTAGCGGGAAAAAAAAATGTGTTCATTGGGTCGAGTTCATACGGTTTGACGCAGCTGCCAATGGAATACAACCAAGAAATACGGCCGTGGTGCAGGCGTTTAGCAGATAGAGCCGGGCGGCCGAGCAGTTTTTTTTCGCTGATGAGCGCCACAACAACAGCTGTGGCATAAAGAACTATCGCCTTCACCGGACGAGAGGAATCGGCAGGCCGCTTCTGCAGGAGCAGGAAAGGAGAAGGTCAAGCAGCTGTGCTTTTGCATAGTACTAACAGAAACCTGGTTATTGACTAAAAGTTCTGACAATGAAATTGTTCACCGTGAAAAAAATGACCGCATCTCCACGTGGTGAATGGCGATTGGGGCAAAGCTCTGGTGGTGCGTAGACGCTGAGCCGCAGTATGCCAATCTTTTCGTTCGTTTTCCATCCATGTCAGAAAGAGAATTTGTGGTATGGAACGTGGTTATATACGCATTTGAGCATTTGACCGCAGCGCCCTCTCATCTATAAACGTTGAGCCAATGCATGCACAGTTTAACGCGATTATATACACACTTGACCGCAGCACACTCTCCTGTATAGACATTGAGCGGCTACATGCAACGTTTCATCCATGACATCCCCAGCTCTTGAGTTACTACCACATCTCAGAGCCCCCTACTCGTCCCGCAGTCATGGCCGAGTGGTTAAGGCGATGGACTAGAAATCCGTTGGGGTCTCCCCGCACAGGTTCGAATCCTGTGGACTGCGCAAAGATTTTTTCTTTTTTTAAGAAGACAGATGGGATGGCAATCGATGTGAACACGGACGCCGGACGAGGCTAGACCCTAAGGAGCTTCGCCCGTAAAAACTTTAATTATCAATGTGATCGTAGTTCTAGATCTGGGGAGGTTTCTAAATTGCGATTTCAGAGCACCTTAACCCTTTTCACACTGCCGGTGTTTCTTGCCTGGTAATTGTTTGTGCAACGGTATGCATCAACCACAGTGATGTAATCTTATGTGCATGTTATTGGCCCCCTGATGCTTCTTCAAATCTTTGCAGTTGCCTTCATGATGTATTAATCCATGTTGTTGTAAGGTATCCACATTCTCCAATTTTTTTTATTCGGATATTTTAATTATCCCAAAATAATTTAAGCTGCTAACGGCCCAGTTATCTCCAATTTATCGAGTGAAGGTGCATTGTTTGTAAACATTTGCACTGATCTTAATTTCTCCCAGTTTATAACTCAGCCAACTCGAACTGCAGCATCATCATGCGCCAGTACCCTCTATCTCGTCCTGACAACTTCTCCCAATCTAATCCTTTTGTTAATATTATTAGCTTGTTTAAGTGATCACTGTCTTATTAATGTCTCACTCAAAGGAGCCTCTAATTGTTCAATCAGAAACCTTAAATATATCAGGTACTACAACAAAGCCAACTTTGACCGCATCATTAGGGAGCTCGAAATATTTGTAGACGAGTATGTGCCAGACTTTTTTAATTGCAACATAGGAAATACTTGGTCTCTGTTTAAAGACAAGGTGGTGGCCGGAGGCGAGACAGTTATCGTCACTACCTGTCATGGTTCCTAGACGGGCATTACAAACGAGACGTTAGCGACATCCACCAGGTTCTCTTTGCTAATCGTTTAATTTGTTTTAAAATTCCTTTTCCTGTCTTTTTCAACAAAAGATTGTTGTGTCTGATGTGATAATGCTTCATTGAACACAAAGAAACCAAGAAATAAGTGCCGAAATTTCATAGTAGTATCCCTTTAAATACACCAAGCGTGCGTTTGCACCATCGTACTTTGAAAATGTGTTTTTTTTCTAAGCATGTGACTGCAATATTAGTACTTTTTGAAGTGTTGATCCGCTGTGCACCGAGCACCGGTGCACTTCGGAGGAGCAACTTTTACGGAAGCGAGCTCCTTGGGTATTGTTTCCTCGCAGTGCACTAATGCTCAGTAAGAAGCGCACTCAACAGGGCTAACCTGCTGCGATCAACACTTAGGAAAAATATGAATATTGCAGTTCATCTCGAAGCAAATATCGATTAGGGTATTACTAGAAACTGCAATTTGAATATTTGCACAATACTAACGAGCTGTATTTATTCATGCATCTAATGCCTGTCATGAGCCTAAGAAAACCCCTTGATTGGCTTCTTGTTCGGCAGAACAAAATTAAAAATTAACCCTCACGGCTATGGATATGGCAGCCACGGGAGCGACTGTCTCAGCTGTCTGGTTTCTTTCGCATCAGTGGAGCATTCTCGCTAAACATTGCTCATCCTCGGCAGCCCGTCATGTTGGATATTTGGACCGCAGCACCATCGATGAAAGTGGGGCCTCCATCTACTCCGTCACCAAGGAGGCGGAGGCCGAGCTGCCAGGCCTGGACCCCAACATTCGCAGCGCCGGTAGGGCCCGCGTTGTCTCTCTTTTTTGGCTCGGTGCCCGGGGAGGTGCCCTTGCATCAATCTGGAGCTCCTAAACTAGGTTCCTTGAAAAATTCCCTGGCGTATTCGCGCGGGTTCCCCGAGTTTCCAAATTTTCTCGACTGTCTTTTCCTCAAATCTGAGTTTGAGCACCATTTTAGTACCGAATTGGAGAAAATGAAACCCGGTTTTTCGGCCCATATAAACAACCATATATGCCCTGCAGAAGCCAAAACTTCGTACGAATGTGACGCTAGCAGTGGCAATAAAATGTTAAAGTTTTAGCACGTGACATTGCCTGTATCAAAAGATACAAAAGTAACACAACATTGCTCAAAGAGCCAATGTCCACCTGAGCCCAATATTCATTAAGCCATAATTTGAAATTGTGAAAAAAAACTGGACACTCGGAAAGACAGTATTGTTTTTTCATGCTGACAAGTTTTTTTCGCTGACATAATCACTACGGGCACCCATAATCTCAAAGTTTGGTTTGATGAAAATGATCCTTACCGTATTTATGCGTGCTCTGCGGCACGGGAAGTTCATGTGACTCTCGTGCGGATCGGCAAAGCATTTAAAGCATTCGGAACGCAATTCCTCGTATGCGCCTCTGAGACGGCGGCCGTTCATTTGCCTCTGTCGGACGTTGAGACCGGGCATTTGCTTCTTGCTCATTGACATAGTCATGCGGCAGGAGAATGTGGATGTTTCTTCAGCTGCGGCCTTAGTTCTACGGAAATTTATGCAGCGTAGTAAACCTATGCACTGACCAATTCTTTTGTTTGTTGTTGTTAGACACAAACATGTTTTTATCTGTTGTGTGTTAGACACACACATGTTTTAGACACAAATACAGTTGAACCCGGATATATTGAATTCAAAGGGTATCGTAAAATAGTTTGTTATATCAATAATTTGATATACAAAAATATGTTAAATTAAGCTCGGGTTGAAATCCCCTGGTGTCTCTGCTGATACCGAAGGTCGTGACAAACGGGAGCTTACCAAGTAGAGCATTTAGGAGTCGCTAAATACAGTAGAGCGTAGTTGGTGGAGACTGCAAACACCGCTGGTGGGGACCTCCACACAGCATAAGCGACAAAACATGAAAATAATAAACAAAAATGAAAGGAAAAGCTTTCAGCCTTTCCACTCTGGTGAAGAAGGAAGACCAGCGAAGCTGTACACTCGTCACGTGTGTTTCTTCTTCGTCCTCGTCTGTTTTGCATGCTGTTTCCTACAATGAATTCCCACCAGCTCATCCAACTACTATCCATTCTTCTGTGATAGCTGGAAAGGTTGCCGCTGTTTATGAGAGATGGTGGCAACCAGACTAGTTGTCTGGTTGCCGCTGCCGTTCATAGATGGCGGTAGCTGTCCACAGTTTTGTGTAGTTTTGTGTCGACATTTGTTTGGTACCGGGCACGAAACTAGGGAAGTTGGCCCTTAACAGCTCCATTGTAAGACAAAAAAGCGAGACTCATAAAAAAAGCTCTTGATCCATGGAAAAAAGTTAAGCAAGCAACAAAAAAGAAAGCTCACTAAATTCAGGCAGCAAAAAAAGAAAAAAGAAAAACGGGCAAAGCGATAATGGGAAAAGGTAAACAGAGACAAGGTGTTTAAAGTGCGATTGTACAACTGTTGTTGTCGACACGCTTGACTTGCCGAAGACTTTCTTTTTTGCTTATTTTATTTTGGGGCTAGGGAGTCTTGCAGCATCAGCAGTATTTAGAGAAAGGGTGCAGGCTATCATTCCACCAGCAGGCACTGCCTGCTCTCCCTACGTGTGTGCACATGCTCTTCCCCTTGCTTTTGCCATCCTCCACTTTATTTTTTTTTGAGGTTCATTGTGTCTTTTTTTACAAGAGCTCTTTCACTGCATATCTTCTGGCGTGTATGCTGGCTTGGCGGTCTGCCAGCCAAGCACCGAAACCGTGCTCGCCACCGGCGCAATCGGATCGCGGGAAAAGCAACAAGCGGCTGGGCTTCGTTCACTATATCGAGTGTCCCCGCCATGAAAGTTGGATACAAAAAGACAACGCCCCTATACTATTACATGTGATTTTCAAGGGGATGTTTGGAGTGTTTCATATGAACAATAATTCAAAACACCCGTGTGCGATATAAAATTTTCCCTACCTGTGCGTGCACGCCTTGTTATGTTTGCCGTTTTTCTCTCTTCTCACCTCCTTGCTTCTTTTTATTTGTGACGTAATCGATTATAAAATTTATAAGCTTTGTAAGCGACCTTTCTATAATGTTTAATAATGGCATTCGTAAAACATGTTTTTTAACGCAATTGGAAACAGACTACGCCTCTTCTTTTGAAATATTGAAAATCTGAGTCCGGAGATGATGTCGTCTCCCGACTTTTTATCCTCTCACGGAAAGCATGGTGGCGCTTGGCTTGTGTAACACTGAGGATGATCGGGGAGTTGGGAAACCTGACAAAGTTCTCTTTTTGGTGCCCGACGATCTCTCAGACTTCAAAAAGGAAATCGTCAAACGGTCGGAACAACTGGGTTTGGTGCCTGTGCACCATACTTTCGGCTGGGACTCTGCCGGTGCAGCCTTTTTCACTAGCACCAGTACGACGTGGCCCCTCCCGTCGCTCACAAAAGTCCACTGTGCGTCCTCTTCGGCCTCACACCGTTCTAAAAAATTTGAGATCGCTGAAAGGCCCCTTCAGTGATTTAAAAGGCGGTTTGGTGGCCGTTTGGGCTCGGAGCACGTGGAGTGAAAGCTCTCGCTGCAGATCCCATTGATCCTGGGTTCAATCTTCATCCCTGCCCGTTTTGATCTGGATGTGCATTGCATCGGTGTGCGGTCGTGTTTGACTACTGCGAGATGCATGTTAAACACCCCTGGCTAGTAGTTGCACTGCACTGGCTAAATTTCTCATCTACAGCTGAGAGGCAAGTCGCTTGTTGAGTCAGACTAAGTTCAGGCTGTATAAACATCCACAGACCTCCTAAGAACTTCAGATTCAAAAGTGAAGCGTCATCTGCCCACAACGATAGGCGGCACGCACGGAGAAGCGCAGTTAATTGCGGGATGCGGAAGAGTGCGACACTTCCGGTTCGGATGGTTTGGAGGGGGGAGAGAAACTTGAGTTACAGGACGACTCAATCTTTGACGTCACTGCACTGGCACTGATCGCACGACAACTTCAAAGTCGGCTTTTGCAAATTGTTTTTTTACTTCACAAATACTGTGTTTCCAAGCTTTGAATTTTAAGGTAATGTCCAGGCATCGCTCGCAGTCTTTTCGTATAATAAAAAAAATATATTATTTTGACGTGTCAGTGCTTTTGAACATAATGGTCAGTTGACATTCTAAAAGTGAGCAGAAATGATATGCTGACACTTTGCCTGTTCATCTTTTGCTGTGTAGCCCTTAACGTTCTACTTGTTGAATGCAACTACATACAGCATGAATCTGCTGATATTCTCCCGGTTGGTACATTTTCCCCGCTTGTTGCGCTTATGGCTCATAGCAGCCATTCCTATTTGAACTTTCCTTCAGCATTAAAGTGAATGTCGCCAGATCCTCGCCACTCTGCGAGCATACGTGAGAGTTTTGTTCCCATCGGGTTGAGTGCTGTTCCTCCACATTTCTTTGGCAGTGGGCATAGCTCGGAGACTGCAGGACCCTCTCCTGGAGTATGTCAAGGTGGAGCCGAAGCACCTGGGGGTTGGCATGTATCAGGTATGGACAATGCAAGCTGCTGCTGGAGTTAGCTTGGACTTGGAAGATTTGTTTACGTCTGGGAAACACTTGATATTTTCAAGTAAAATCTTTAACATCAGAAAGACGTTACAAACAAGCACATACTGTAAACAACTTTTGTGAGTTTGATACTTCTCAAATGTAGTCCAGGCTAGTGCTTTGGAATCTCTTACGGGCTGTAAATATTGTGAAATGGAAAATGTAGAAAACAGCCGAAGCCCATCAAGGAGATTGGCTTTGATTCGTTTTAATATTTTGTTTAATGACTAGGACCAAAGGTTGCCTAGCATGCATGGTGCTCAGGAAGTGTCTAGAGAGTTGATGTGGTTTTACTTTGGAAGGAATGATTAATAAGTAACATGGTCAAGTTTGAGAATTTACGTGCCAAACGAACAAAGGGCATCCGGCATGCCTTAACAAAGTACTGAGAATTAATTTAAACAACATAGTGGTATTTTTATATGAAACGAAAGGCTCGGTTACACGGCATGGTGTCTTCTCCCTAATAAGCCTGCATCACTTTATTTATTTGAAATTCTGCGAGCATTCTTTGGGCCCCGGCAGGTTACACAAGGAAACACAAATCAAATTTTAATATAGCACTTTGCAGACACAAAAAATAAATATGTGCCATGTCATCTTAAACACAAGTATATATAATCATTGTATACAGCAATATAAAAACAACTTATAATACATATATGCAGGGTGTGTAATTTTAATTGGAACAGATTTATTTTTAAAAAGCTGTGAGAGGTACACTAACGTGGTCTGTACAGGCGAGTTAAATGGCCAGAGGGACATACTGTGAGGGGCTAATCATCATGATCGGATAATTAACTAAATTTTGTTACTTAATTTTCTAGTTATTGAAAATAGACATGTGGTTTTAATTAGGAACTCGGTGATTTTCATCTCACTGAATCAATTAATGTGAAAGTTTCCACTCGTACAACAGGCTGGTAGTCCAAAAACGTGGACATTAATCTTTATATCTGCGTTTTCGAACCGCCAGCATTGCCCCTGTTGTACGAGTGGAAACTTTAGCACGTCCCCGCCCTTACCATGTAATATTGACCGATTTAGCGGTTTTCGATTACGCTGTGCAAGTTTCTAATTAGACTCATATGTTAAATTTATTTTCACTTACTAAAAAAAGATAACACACTTTAGTTAATTATCTGACTCATTGTGATGACTAGCCCCTACATTATGTGCCTTTGACCGTATAACTCGCCTGCACAGACTGCATTAGTGCATCTTCCCCAGCTTTTTACAGCCAGGATTCGAACCCGCCAACTGGGGATCCGTTGGCCGGCTCTTTGCCCCTTAGCCACCAAAGTGACTGGAATTATTCGCAAGTGTGTCAAATAAAGTACCGCATAGGTAGGCGTACGTAGGCATTACCAAAAGCATGATATTTTAAATATCTGTTTTATTGGATTTATGTTAACGGTGAAAAGAGCGCTTTGGTAATAACTGGAAAAAGTTGACATTTTGACTGACTTTCAGCACGGTAAATATCTTGGTTTTTTTTTTTATTGATTTTAAAATTTAAGTTGTTTTGCAGTACTGAGAAAGTATCAGATTTCGAGCAAGGGTGACTGTAAAACTACTACTGAACCAGCACTGGTAGTTTCTACCGGTGCTAGTGCACTGGTGGAAACTACTACCGCTAGGCACGTAACCAGGATTTTGTTTCGGCGGGGGGGTGGGGGGGGGGGGGAGGTGTTCCGGCGAAATAGGAAATTTTGGGGGGGGAGGCGGAGGAGGAGGAGGAGGGCTTTGTGTGAGCGCCCCCTCCCATTTTATAAAAATTTAATATTTTTGTGGACTCCATCTTGAATATCATTCCCGAATCCAGTAAGGACCCCCTCCTTATTTCAGTTATATACATAATCTCTAAATTTGGAAGAGACACTTGCTCAATATTCTGTGTAGTCTAGCAGATATTGGGGATATGTTATAAAGAAGTTACACTCTGGTCTGCTCTTTGCTAGTTCCTTGGATCTGGAGATTGTTGGACGACTCGGTTGTTCATGTCAGAGACTGCCATGAAAATGTATAGGGTGTCCTAACTTCTCACAGGAGCAGAGCTATGCCTTGAAATTTGACAAAGTAAGATCCACCACCAACATACATCTTCAATAAAAATTTTAGCTCTTGAGGGCAGTAAAACGTGCCAATTTTTTTGCACGTTTTACTGCCTTCTTTTTTATTAGATGCACTCTGGTAGCAAAACACTTTACTGAGCATAGAGAGAAGTTAGTCTTGAACCTCTCAGACTAGTCCAACAAAACAGTGGGTTTTTGGGGACACACACTGGCTAGCCACGCGAATTGGTACATTTAGAAAGAAGAGATGGTGGGCACTTGCACCAACATAAGTGCATGCTCTGTATCGTCCTCTAGGCAGAGGTTCCTCTCTTTCAGAAAAAAAGCACTGGCATATGTTGAGGCTGTTGCAGTGTAGCTGTGTTGAGATGGTGGATTAGGTATCGCAAATGGTTGTGATGTCGTACAGCAAAATAGACAAATGTCGCGTTGTGTCGGAGCACCATGTCATATATTTTTAAGGGTTTGTTTTTATCGATTTGTGACAATGGTGACATCAATCAATTTGATTAGAAAAAGAATTTGAGCTGGTCTCAATCGTTTTTGTTTATGCATTGGTCACACACGAGCAGCTGATGCACGTTTCAGCGAGGGTCAGATGAATTGAAAGCTAACCATGCGTGCAGGCTTACAGTGAGCATTTTCACAGAAAAAAAGCCCTCTAAATGCTTCGTTCGCACATATTCGGACGTATTTGACAATGTATGTTTATGCTAAATTTCAAATTTTGCCTGAGTGAGCACATATCAATGCTAAACAAATAACTGTGCAGAAAAAAGGAAAAATAATTATTTTGGACGAGGAAAGGTGGTGCATTTCTGTGTCCATATTGATTCCGACAAACGACATGAGCAGCTCGACAGTGCGTCATTAATCGTTGCAGCATGACATTTCGGAGAGTGTCCTCAAGAATGCCCTGGAGGGAGTCGTGGTGGAATGCGTGAGCTTCGTCGGCGTCGACATCAACGTGTGTCCTGAAACGATCCTCAGGTACCTGCCTCAAAGGCTTTTGCCACTGTCGTTTTGCATTTTAGTAGAAACGATGCAAGGCAACACAAAGAATCTTAATTGCCTCTTAGCGATTTGGGTTGGCGCAGAAATGGCCGAAAAAAGTGCCCTTAGCCCTCAGTTTTGATGCTGGAGTTGCCGATAGGATAAGAACAGGGAGGTCTTTCAGATGTCCCACCTGCATTGCGAGTTTCATTTCTTCAATAACACTTGGGCGTCTTGCTAGCTTTGGGCGCACACATGTGGCCAACGCACGGCGGAAGACAAGAAGCTCGTGCTGATGGCCGGGCATCCGAAAGAGATGCCTCATTTTTCCCGTTGGCAATCGTAGGTATTTGCATACGTGTAGTTTATTCTGGCCACTCTCTCGTCTCCTCGCTTCAGGAAAGTGTCGGGTCTGAATACGGGAACGGCCAAGAACATTGTGGAGTGGCGCGAGACCCACGGCCCCTTCAAGAACCGGCAGCAACTGCTGAGCGTCAAGCGCCTGGGCAACAAGGCTTTCGAGCAGTGTGCCGGCTTTATCAAGATCTTTCCCAAGACTGCGAGGGCCACCAAAGGGTGATTGCACGATTGGAGTGACCAGAAAGCGTGGGCACCCCTTTTTGTGTGTGTGTGTGTGTGTCACCCCCATCATTCCATTTCTTTGTTGCCTCGATTCTTTTCTCCTATCCCACCGTTCCTTTCCTTCGGCGCGGGATATCCCGCCGGGACAATTGATCTTGACTTGTCTTCATTTCTTCGTCTCTCTGTCTCTTTCTATATACATTTGCCAAAATATCTTTCTGCCTGGAAAGAATTCCTTCTCTTTTCTTTCCCTTTTCGCCCTCGCCTGTACGTCATCCTATACATTGTCCTAAACTTTAAAACATGTATAATCATTACTCGAAAACGTTTAACCCGCAGGACTTTAATGCTTTCGCTTTCCTACACGTTAGCAGTCTTAAGTGTCCTCCTGTAATTTTTGTAACTTATCTGGCGTTCAATATATACGTCAGTGTAGTCTAGACCTTTCTTGAAATTTGATTCTCAAAATGCCATTTGCATTTCCTAAATCCCCGGCTCAGCAGCTATTTCTAAAGCACATTGAAATGGGGAGAGTGTCCCACACTGCAATGCACCGAGAGATACTGGGGTCAGATACCAGCGGCGGCGCACGGGGGCGGACTTGTCAAAGACGCGTCTGTAGAAAAGAGTTTTGGAGACAGAACTAGACGTTTGCTGGGATTGATTGGTGGTCACTTGTGGCCACACCGGAAGCGCAGAGTGCATGTGCATGTTCCCCTACTTCCTAGTGGTGCCTTCTGTTTGTGTCAGACAAGCAGCTAAAAAAGTTTACTCTGGATGGTGCTGCATGGTGAGAAATTGCTTGCAGAAAAATGTTCTGTCGTTTGTGCTCATCACTGGCCACTCAGTTATCAATTTCATTATGTTGCATGTGTCTGGAACACGTCCTAAACCGTGGGTGGGATTAAAATAACTTTAACTGTACTACTTTTTATTTTGAGCGTGCACATTTCGCTCTCCAGTGGCGTGAAATTGTTGAATGAGATGGCCAAATTTGAGCCTGCCTCAGCTCGAATTTGGTTTTTCAACAGCCTGTGTGGTGGGACGATGATGCATATGGGTTGCTATAGAAGCTTTGAAACAGCTCCCTACCTTATGGGCACTTTCCGACCTTAGAAAAACTGTGTGGTCCATAATCGTGTATTGGGTTTTGTCCACCACTTGGAAGAAGCAGGTTGCAGCAATGTTAGGTTAAAAGTATAAACTTCTTTTTGACTCTCCTGCCAAGCTGGCAGGAGAGTCACATGCACAAATTAAATGGCCCGCAAGCGAGGGTTAGATTCTAATTGTAAAATAAATTTCTTTGTGAACTCGATCTGCTAGAAACTTGCATCTCAGTATATCCATGTCTGCATTATATTTTTGAGGTACGGTAATTTGTGCATCTTGCTCTTTTTCTTGTGGTTTTAGTTCTCTTGCAGTTGGCATCGTGGAAAGTATTTACCTTTTCTTTTTATCCTTATGCTGTGGTCAAGGCTGCTGTTTCTGAAGAATTGCAGCCTGAACCCCCTATCAAACTAATCCTTGCTAGTTTTTTTTTTTTTTTTTAATTTTTTATGGAAGTTGTTTTCATAGTTTATATTTATATCCCAGTGTTTATTGTACAATTTACTTGCATTTTTTGTTGTAGATGTGATGAAATGTGAAGGAGTGTGTACTTACTTACTTTTGTGTGCTCCTTCCTGCGAAAATCCCTAAGGGATTGGCAGTATTTTCAAATAATAGTTTATCTGAAAAAAGTCTTGAATTTGAAATTTTGAATTAGAACTGTCAAAGCAATCCTTGTCAGTTGCAGTCAGTGACAAACGAAAATAAGGTTTGCTTTCATTTGTTTCAAAGGAATGGTTCAAGTGTGCCGGCCCAGAAACAGAAGTCTAAGAAGGTGTCCGATGAGTTTGATCCCCTGGACATGACCATCATTCATCCGGAATCATACAGATTTGCCGAGCTGTGAGTTGGCTCAACTTTGTGGCGCAGTTTGTCTGCGTTCCGATGTGGTAGAAGCTATTTGTGAGGTGTATGAAGTGTTGGTGGTTATTTTGGCACTTCCCCTTGTGTTTGTCCCAGTGCAATGAACTGGATAGATGAGATAGAACAGATGGAACGGCTTTATTCCATGGTAGTTGAGTAGCAAAGAAGGAGCGGTCTGCTATTTATGTTTGTCTTATGAACAGCTTGTCAGGAGGTGAAGAAAAATTGGAAAGGGCAGCGAGGAGAGGGTGTGATGCATGATCATTAGTGCACCCAACGCAGGACCTTGTCTGGGCTACTGTGCATGCGGTTGGATTCAATAGTTCAACATTTCAACTTTGCCAGATGGCTACATGGTGACTATTGCACAAATATGTATTGGGGCTCCTACAAGGTGGAGTCCCTTCTGTCGTAAAATACAGAGGAAGTGCTGATGCCTAAATGAGCTAGATAAACAAATTTTTTTAGAATGTGAAAACCGCCAAATTAAATTTAAAAAATCTATGGTGCTGTGTCCTTCAGCATTTTGTCATATCCCCTTCTTTGCAAGTCCTTCTGTATTTGAATTTGGGGCACATTGCATAAACGGCGAGTGTCTTGCCTTTAAGATAGGATAGAAAGGAAAAGGGCCTCAGGCCGTCTCTTAGAGCAGGAGTTGTTAAACATTTTTTAAAGCATGAGATGCTTTTTATATGACTCATTGGTCGGAATTTTCATGTCGGCGTCCTCTCGGAAAAACAAACTTCAGTGACTGAAGTGAAAAGAGCATACATCATCCATACAACATACAGCACAGCATTCATTTCAATAAAGAACAGGCACAATGCAAGCATCCAAACCAGATAATTGATGATAAGGCGCTTCTGATGACAGTGTGAAGCACATAGCGCTCCCCGCTTGCATTTCTTGGTAAAGATTGCTGTTGCACAAGCTGCTGTGCTGCTGTGCAACGTCAGCGTTTGAAGACTTTCATATATAAAAAATCTTTTGGTACAGTTCATTTACTTTTCTTTCGTCAGTCATTTGGTAAGACCCTTTTGCTGTTTACAAACATGAACTGCCACTTGCGCCCCAAGCGACTTCCGGTTGCATTGTCTTTGCAAGCCTGTTGAGCTTGCTTATGTCACCAGTGCTAGAAAGCATAAATGCTACACTGACAACAAAGTTGGAGATTTAACGAGGGCCTTTGGCTGTACAATATTGCATCTTGGTGGAGGGGCAAGTTGGCCTACAAGAATACCCGAAACATTTTACAGATCTCACACTCCTTCGTTCTTTTGGCGTTCACCTGGGGAAGTGGTGGTTAAATTTTTCCTCTACATTTCAAGCAGCGGTGTTAAGGTGGCCTTTGTTCATTCTTTTTATAAACCGAAAGTTCTCTAGGACGTCAAAGGTTGGAGCACCACCTGGTGGCATTTGCCATAAAAAAAGGTCTCTAGTAGAGTAGGCATCGTTGCAGGTGATACCATAGCTTCGCTGTCCAACCCCCTCCACAGCGTGAATTGGAGCCCCAACGTTTAGAACGCAGCTCTTGGGCACCCGTTTCCGGCTTGAGCGGTGTCGCCATCAGCGTAACCGTGGTGTCACATGATTCCGGTGAGTTCCCGTGACCCCTGTGAGGTCATGTGACCTCGTGAGGTCATGTGATCCCCGTGAGGTCATGTGACCCCCGTGAGGTCTCGTGACCCCCACGAGGTCACGTGACCCCTCAGTACCCCTTCCCTCCTCCTCCTCAAGAGCTGCGCTCTAATTTGGTGTTACAGGAAGTTGTAAGTAGTGATGGGACGAATCACCGGAGATTCGGATTTGGACAGATTCGGAAATTTCCTAACTTCCCGCGACGAATATTCGGCGGATTCGGAGATTTGTCGCTGGTTGCAGACGGCAGCATGAACCTTGTACACCTCGCGAATGCGGTCAGTTATGCTTTTCTTAGGTACTGTTACTGCATATAGCCAGATTTCGTCTTGTTTATTTCAACGTATGGTATGTACTAAACTGTCATTCTGAACCCTGGCACGCGGCCAGGTCCAGCTGAGCTGAGCCAATTGAGCTGATCGGTGTGGTTGACATAGGCCTAACCTATGCACGGTCTCGTTTTCTTTGCAGTTTCGCGGTAATCGGTAAAATGTACCGAAACGCTCTGGTATTATACATAATGTGGCTCAACGTACAATAAACATATTCAGGCAAGGAACTGTTTCGTCTCCTTCTCTAGAGCTGCGTATTTCTGTACCTGTAAGGCACGAGAGCGAGATGAATGTTGCTCGTCACAACTTCGACCACATACCGGCACCGGTGGTGAAGAAAAACGTCGCACTGTCGTTTCTCCGTTCTCAGCAGCAAGTTTTGTATACGTGAACTTTATTCAATGAAATAGAAACACAACACAGGAGTGTCCAACGCAACTTCATTATTCGGAATAGCATAGCATTAACCAGGAGTTTGAGATTGTTTCCAATGTTCCGGTGGCAATACCTCAGTGGACACTCGCGATCGTTGGAGATAATCGAATCGAACATACCCACTTGTGTGGTGTGCACCACTATGACAGTAGTTATGGGCACGAAATGTGTCTGTACCGAACAGCACGTACGGCATCGATCTCTTGCGGCGATGAAAACATGCGCTTGTATTTCCACGTGCGTGTACCAAGCATGCCTATTTGGGTCGTAATCCGGAACCGAAACCAATTTTCCCGCGATGTCTGGCTACCGTTCTCGACAAAAATCCAAAATAATATAAACAAAGGGGAACTTTTTTTTTTATTAGTGTATTACAGTATTACATTATTACAATATTATTTTGCACACTTTGTAGACTTTAGTGAATTTAATATCACGAAAAGTTGAAACACTCATCAACGTGACTTGGCAACCATGGCAGCGCTTTGAATCTCTTCAAACTTTTCCGAATCGCTTGAGATTCGGCTACTTTTCCGAATCTTTCCGAACCTTCAGATTCGGCTCCGAATCGCGATTCGGATAAAGATTCGTCCCATCACTAGTTGTAAGCGGCTATCATTTTTCAACGAAACCTCCCAACCCCAAAATTTTTTCTGTCCGTCCGAGCATTTGGATGGATGGGTGCTTTTCTTTTATGATATACTAGTTTAATATCATGAACTGGTTAGATCTGGACATGAAAAATTTTAAATTTCGTAAGTTTACTGTCATCTACTATAAACCCCTCTCTCAGCAGTGGTCTTGATTTGTCGAAACCTCTTAGTATTTTATATCAGTTCTTTTTGCAGGTGGACTAAAGTTTGCAAATGGTAGGCACATTTAAAAACTTGGCAATTTGTCGGAAATGTTTTTTTATAGTAGTTTTATTAAAGTGCAAAGGTGGCAGAAGCTCTTAGGACTACACTGATAAGCCAAAGCATTATGACCACCCACCTAAGTCCTTGGTAAGTGGCCCGAGGAAGATTGTACCAGTTTTCCAAGCACAGGTCGCGCAATTCCTGTAGATTACGAGGAAGTGGTTTGTGATCTCTGAGCCGGTGCCCCATCACATCCCAGATGTGCTCCATGGGATCGATGTCTGGTGAGTTAGGTCGACAAAAGATAAACTGGAATTAATCATTGGGCTCTTCGAACCGCTTTAGCACAGTTCTGGCCTTGGCGCGTCGATTGTTATCCTGTTGGAAGGTTCCAGTTCTAAGGGGCAAGACAGACGCCATGAAGGAGTGGAACTGGTCGGCGTTGATGTTGACATAGTAGACAGTTTTCATGGTATGCTCTACAATAATCGCTGGTCCCAGGGGTGCCCACAAGAACGCCTCCCAAAGATTAATACTGCCACCACCAGCCACCATCCGTGTCGGCAGATGGTACATGACGCGGACGGCGTGTCAGCTTGGCAAGCTCATTCCCACAGCTTAGGGGTAGTCTTAATATTTTGACTGACCAGTGTATAATTCAATAAGAAGCCTCCTGCGATGTCTCCGCCTAGCAGCTGGCGTTTCGCTGAGCGGGCTAAGGTATTTAAAACATGTATCCTTTATAGCAAAATAGTGAGTTGTTTGTTGGAAGAGGTTTTCATCTGTATGGAACATGCTCAAGACACCCAGTTGCCTGAAGTTTTTGCAGTACTGTCATCAGAGGCCAAAATTAAAGTGATCTGAACTGGCGGATGTCACGCTGAGGTGTCACGAGTTTGGGCAAAATTTTGCGTAACCAGGCTCAACATTATTACTATTATTATGATTATTACCGTGATCTTATCTCTACTTAAATTCACATTTAGCCGCCACTGTCGTTCTCATGCGAAAGGGTCTCGTGTATACATCAATCGGTACTTCTGTTTCCCCAGGCTCATCTGCCACCTGAAGCTAAAAAAGGAGGACATAGGGAAGCAACACTTCATTGAAACTGTGAAGCGGGAATCCTCAAGACTAGGTGAACACATGTTTTGGGCATGATCTGCCGCAGGCGCTTCAGGGTACCTCCAGCATAAAAACCCACCGCTGCTGCTTAAGCTTGAGGAGCGGTGGTCAAGTTTGGTGTGAAGCTAACTTTGCACGAGATTCGCCACGCTAAAAAGTCTGGCCCTTTCTGGGTTTGCTGCAGACAGATTGGAGACATTTAATGAGTTGATGGGCTTGAGTCTGGCTGTGTTTTAAAGGCCGTTAGATGTCTCAATGGAAACAATGTGCCAGTACGATGAAGTTGCAAAGGTTAACGTTACTGACAATTCTGAGCCAGCCACTATGGTGCATTCCGAACTTCCACGGCAGTTGAGTTTGGTCGCAGCAAGATTTGGAAGCTGCAGACAGCTTCTCAAAGTGACATTCCTTTCCCTCAGAAACGTTATCTGGTATTTGGGAGAGACTGTTGAAAAGGAGAGTTGAAGCACAGTCAGAATGTAAAGAAAATGGGATGCTTGAATTTTTTGCATGCTACTTTTGCCAATATATATTTGTATGATTTCATGTGTGGTGATATCTTTGCTGAAAATATTTTGGATTAGAATGAAAACAAGACTTAGCTTCAAGGTCCCATCTCATCATTGGAACCTAAGTTCAGTCACTGAATGTGCTCCCCTTGAACAGTTCGGTATTCCCCAAAAATTAAACCTTTTGCAATGGTACCGAGTGCTAACTCATTTCTCCCATCTAACTAATAAAGCAGTCTTTCTTTTAGTGCCCATATGATAGGCTCCGGTTTTCTAGCAGCCACTACCATAAAATTGTGGACTCATTTCTTGTACATTCTGTATCAAAGTTTCTGCACTAAGTTCTAAACTAGGATGCACATCTAAGAAATCACATTGGTGACATCAATGTTACGACATCGAACATGTGAAGCGCTGCCCGTAATAGTTGACTTCAGCTAGCCCAGACACACCAGTGCTAAACGCAGGCCACTAGGTGCCCACAGCCTCATTTCTAATCCTTTCAAGGGGTATTCATACGAAGGAGAACTCCACAGACGAATGTCGTGACGTCAACAGCCCACGAAATTTCATCCGCAGCTCTAGCAATCACTCGGACGGCGGGGAGTGGCGGGGAGCCATGAAGGATATCAGTCTTACCATACAGATTTAGCGGTCACTTTCTCGAGTACAACGCAGCTATATGTCGTTATGGCAGCAGTGCTACTAGAAACGAACGGCGACGACATTCTACTTGCTAAAAGAAGGTGCTGGGTGAAAGGTTTGATGCAGAACGAAGAACTTAGGATACAGAACCAGTCGTACAAAGAGCTTCTTGAAAGCAACACTGCCGAGTATCGAAAACTCTTTCGGGTGCCCCACGACGTCTTCGTTGAACTACTGGCCCGCATCCGTCAGCGAATGCAAGAAGCAGGCAACAAACATGAGCCATTCTGTGAGGTTCCGATAGTGTTTTTAATGTCAGCAGTTGCAGAGCGCATATATGCATTGAGCAAAGATGTCACTCACCCAATGTGTACGGCACAAATTGCGGGAACTGCGCTATCATTTATTTGGAAATTTTTTCTTATATCGATGCCTTGATGGCTGTCTTCGAGTAGAGATCTCTGGTTGTGACCTACAACGCCGGGAACTGCACATCGAAAGAAATGGAAACGAATAGGGAGTCGTCACTTAACTTTGCCATTTCACGTGGGACTACAACAACAGGAACATCAGTAATGGCGCAGGCGATTCCCTTCAAAATGTTGAAAAGAGCGTGAAGGCTTGTGACCAGACGAGGCCAAAGAGTATCGCTAAAAGCAGCAAAAAGCTAACTGCTTTGCTGCCCACCAAAGGAGCGTTTGTGCTGACAGAACGAACCCTCCGCGTGTTGGCCAAGAAGGAAGAGGATGGCACTATGAGGCGTTCAGAAGGGATGACGTATGTCTCACTAGATGCACGCTCCGCGGAGGAAGGTGGCGGATTTCTCCTTCGTGTGAATACTCCTTCAGGAGTGAACAAAGAGGTCCAAACACGAGCCATTTTCGCATAGGCTGCACTGGCTCACCAGCAGAATAACAGCCCCACTAGAAAAAGGGAGAATCAAAAAGGTCACAATTTCAGGAGTTTACTACTTGGTCATTGTTGACGCTGTGGTATTTCAAAGTGGTGCCACCCAGTCTGATAAACGTGAAGCGGTATTCTGATCGTTTTGACATAGGTACCGTAGGTATCCCACAATGCCGTACGGTGTTTTTGTGGAGCAAAGGTAGCTTTTGATTTCTCTTCTAGGTGTGAACCACTTTGTAAACATTCTTGGAGGAAGCGTTGCAACCATGAGCCTGATCATCGACGCACTTCAGCAGAACGTTGAGTATGACATACGGTCAGGTAAGCTCGATTTGGTTGCTTTGGTGATATTTGACTCTGTTATAACGAGGGCACGGGACATTGTGCACGTCAAGCGAAAGATCTGTTGCTGAGGGTAGGCTTGAACCCACTGCAAGCAATAGCCAAGCGGCACCTTGCACTGTTTCTAGCTGCAATATGAATTAATGCTGCAGCAGCCTGTGACAAGCAGTGGCTACATCATGCATTTTGGTATCGGGTTCCTATGTTTTCCTTAGTACCCTCAAATGTTTCCTGAGCTTTCCCGCTTAACTATGAGCCAAGCACCCCCTAGTATCTGCATTATTGTTTTAAGAGGTCGCTAGGGATCCGTGGTGCTTTGAAACACCACTGTCGAAGCCGGGAGAAATTCTTCAATTTTCGCTGGACATCAGAAGGTTTGGTAACCCCCAGGTTACACCATCTAGCCACCAGCAGAGATAATCCACAGAGCCTGGAGTGCATCCAGGAACCCTTTTGTGACAGGGTTCCTGCAGCACCTAGGTTAGTTGTCAGTGAAGACAATTCACAAAGCTTGTGCAAACCACAGGCTTTGCGAGCTGTTTTCACCTACGGTCCGACAAGGCCCCCAGTACCTCCTACTTGTCGCCGGCGTGTCCTAGATCCCACAGCAGAAAATACTAGTAACCATTGGCAAAGCTTTTACGCTCGTAACAGCCAACAGTCGGCGATAAGGGCAGGCACAGTACGAGCTCTCGCTGTAAAAGCATTACCTGTCAGCGTCATTTTCCTTTACATCGAACCGGGTCCTGCCTTTCTCTTAACAGAGCAGCACCAGCCTCTGTTCAAGAGTGGTGTCGTGTCCCTCGACGAGATCGAGGTAGGCCAAGAGCTGACGGGCAAAGTGAAGAACTGCACCCAGTTCGGGGCCTTTGTGGACATTGGGGTGGGCAAGGATGGCCTCATCCACTGCAGCCAGATGAACGGACACAGGGTCAACCTTGGGGACCGCGTCACCGTTCTGGTGGTCAACCTGGAGCGCTCCAGGGGACGCATCGGGCTCAGGGTCATTGGCAAGGGCTGATTCGAGCGACCTCGGGAGTGAAAGAAGGTCGTCGGAGGTTGACACCATCTAGAAGGACGACCGTGTCCCGTTGGTGCTGACTCGTGGCAGCTGTTGCGGCCAAGTGTCTATGTTTTTAATAGGAGTGTGGGAATACCGGTTTGAATCAAATAATACCGCGACATTCATAACCTTCACAGTGGGAGGGAAAGCCATGGCAACCGGTTTCCTTAACTGGGTTGAAGCTAGGGATGACGCAGTACCATTCGATTCGAACCTGTATTTGCACACCTCTTGTTTTTAGTCATTTGAAATAAATTGGACACACACTCTACATACCAGAAGACATCATGCTGACGCATATCTTGTGTTTAGAGTAACCCGAAGCGAATGTGAAAACGCACTCTGAAATGTCACTTGTCTGTTTTCATGCATTTCTGAATGGGAAATATTGTAGTGATGGGTAGAATGTGGCGATCTGTTAAGTGTCCTTTCAACAATCTTGAATGTTTTCTTTGTTCATATAATGTTTTTAACATTTATTTTTTTATTTAGTACTTGAAGCATAAGATGGTGCTGTCGAGTTAGCACTTTGTCAATTTATGCGTATCAATGTGCATTGAATATTTGACAATGAAATATGCTTTTAAAGTGTATCTGCAGCCCGACTGAGGCTTGTTGCAGAGAAAGCGCTGTGCCGTGTAACTGAGATTTTGGTTGGATATCCTAGGATTACCTTGCAAAATTAACCTTAGTCTTGTGTTGGGAGATGCCAGATAGATGCTTTTTGGCACATACCTAAAACCCCCAAATTATATTTGAAATTAGCTAGTTTTTAAATAAGCTTGCAGACAAATTTCTAGTTATGGGTCTAGTATTTCCTGTGGCAGTGGGGCATAGAAAGGGAGCAAGTAGTTGTTTAATGTGGAAGTAATCAGCATATTTTGTTTAGGCCCTCATTGTTGCTCCAAACATAAAATGAAAAATGTATCAATTATTTAAATTTCCTTGATAAAATTCAACAGCTTCCTGTATTTATTTTTTTTTTTTTTGTGATTCCACATTAGGTTGTTTTTTTTAGAAATTTATGTTATTTCTCTACTTGATTGCCAAAATTTAAGGCATAAGTTCTTGTTTAGATTCAGTCTTGAAAGCTTCAAAGAAAAGGACACCCTCAAGACATGGTCTCCAATGGTAATAGCTGGTCACAGCTTATAGTGGTTGGGTGATGAAACCCAGCCAACGTTTTAACACTAGGCTGGAGGCCAAGCTATGGAAGAGAAAGAGGAATACTACCGTGCCATTCAGAAGGTTAAAGTTTTAAAAGTATTATAAACTTCAAATCGCTTTTCTGTAACAGTCTTGCCCTGTCTACGAGTCATTTTCTTTACTTATGCACATATGTATGTGTATCAAGCGCTTTATGGAAGGTGCTTTTCAATGTTTGTTTTTATGTTTCCTTAAAAAAAAAAAAAAAAAGTATGAACCTCATGCTCCTTGTGATCGCAATTAGATTGCGTGGCAGCTGTATGTGTGTGCTAACTGGAAGAGTTCATGTTTAATTTTTTCCGTCTGGAGCTGTTTCATGAGTGACGAATGTACCTGCTGTTTCGGCTGTGATCCTGAATTGCTTAGCAACTTGTTTTCATTGTGCATACCACGTAGTGTATCTTGCAGTCATGCTCTCATCACTTGTAACTGGCTATGTGTGTGAATTTGGAGTTTGGCACAATTATAAGACATCGAACAGAAGTGCTGACCAGCAACTCTGTCTACATGTTGCTAATGAAAACTGTTCCTTTTTTGCAGGTGGTCTTTAGGGAGGCTTTTCTCTTAAGTTATTACATTTCACAGTAACTTCTCTGATGAGCTTACTGTTACTCTATCTACGACCTGTGCTGTCGTCAAGCAACTGATGTACATAGTAGGGCTACTAGGCACTGGGCCTGTATTTTTTTTTTCTAATGTAGCCAGTGTAGCCTGTTTTAGGGCTGCCTTATCTATTATACCAATGCCACAGAGGTTCTACCCTTTCATATAATGTTTCGGTTACATTCGTAATCTTGTTTGGTTCCTGCATATTTGTTCACCTTCAATAATCCTTTTTGAGAAAAAAAAAAATTGAGATGAATAAAGTTACTTTATTGTGCATTCTGTATGTGCATGCATATGTGTATGTTCCTTTTCTCATGCATATGTGTATATTCCTTTTTCTCATGGTAACTGGTCCTATATACTGATATTCCAGAAGAAAGCGGTGGGCCTCCTAAGCAAGCGGCAACTCTGGTAACAGCACTGATGCTATGGTTCCTGTAACGCGTCTCCAACTGGTGTGTTCACCACGTCCAAATAAGTGGTCCCTCGATTTCCATTTGGTGGCGTCATCGAAGTATCATGCTCTCGCCTGTCGCAATCGTGACAGTGTCCCAGCAGCGGGGATGGATGTGGCAGATGCCAAGTTTCATCAGCTAGTAATGTGGACGCCACGACTGCAGCGGCACTCGCGTTCACTCGTGCTTTTTGCCTGTATTTCTACGACCAATCGCCAGGACCGCGACACGTGACAGTAGGACACTCGTGCTTCTGTGATATCATTTGTTGCCACTTGGGGACCCCTTTTGATGTATGGGTGGTATAGGACGCTAAACACCAGGTGGGAGACGCGCTCCAGGTACCATACTGATGCGAGTATCCAACATTTTTCCAAACTGCACTCAAGTGCTCACCATGCTCTCTTCTACTTTTGTCGCCACTTTTTCCATTTTGGCCCTTCCTGCTTGTACCATTATTGGTACGCAGTATGGAATAAATAAATGAATGTGCTCGCTTAAAAATTTGTAACTAGTAAAGGAAGCAGTATTCACTTGCAGGCACAGTTGCTTGCATCCATTCTCTGGTTAATTAATCAAGGACACCATTATGCGGTGTCTCGAGTGACAGTGATGGAAGTGCTGCGCTAATTGACCTTTTTCAGAGATCGCTGGGCGCATGCGCCGACTCTGAGAGAGAAGAGGAAAGGGAAAGACGCCATTTTTGGTGGCTCTTTCGCCCGCTCGGTCGCTCAGACAGTGCTGGTTATGCTTGACTCCTGCGGTATTCTCGCGGCTTGGCTTCATGATCGTCATGCCTCACCACCGCGCAGCAGAAGTTTGCACAAATAGAAGCAAACGCTGTTAAAATGCCAAATTTTATAAGGTTATTGTAGCCTTTGGCGGGTGGTGCACAAAAGCACCCGATGTCTAACACTCCGCCGTTTTTGCCCTGCTTTCAAAAGCCCATGACGAGAGTCCCCCGTGCCAGGTGGCTGGATCATCAATGTGACGGCGGGACTTTCTGCTTTTAACTAAAATACAGTAAATGTACATCATGATGATATAGCTGAAATTGGGGTAGGAAAAGGAAAACGCAAAAGGACACAGGAAAAGAACAGGCAACGTCTCTTGAGACGTTGCCCATTTTTTTTTTTTGTTTTCCTTTTCCTATTTCAGCCTCGGGTTTAATAGTTGAAAATGAGCGTGTTGGTGAATAGATACGAATACATGAAAGGATAAAACATCAAGGACGGGGACGGCTACAGGACTTCTTGAAAGAAGTACTCTTTTCGTCCCTGTCCTCGATGTTCCATCAAGCTTTCATGTATTCATATATCAAGTATTCCATCATGTTAACCTTACATCAGCTCGCCTGCACTCTGATCATTTTTTGTTAATAATAAACATGCAAACGAGGTTGTGTGACGTAATCATGCCGTACCCGGTGCTCAAATAAAAAAAAAATAACAACAGAAAGCTTTCCGTTCTTCAGGCGTGCGCTATACACATTCGCGTCTTGCCACGTTAAAAAAGCGACAAAACATTTAAAGCGAGCGAAACTGATTTAAGCATTACGGAGACAAAACGTTGATGAACTTTTTTGGCAACCAACCGTGAACCCCCCTGTTTGCTGGGCCCACTTTGTCAAAGGTTCGTAAACGTGCCAACTTCAAAGATGGATTGTTTCTAACATACCGTTCCTTACTTTTTGGCGGTGCAGGCAATCCTTCGCGACATCAAGACGGCCCGGATTTCGCACCATCAGAGTTTGTTTACACATTCCCGAATACGGCAATGTCCCGTGCCCTCACGCGGTGCACAGGACGGGGAAGTGACGGACGGGATAAGCTTGAATAAATTAAGCGATCAAAGAGAGGAAAATCAGCTGTTTGTAGTGGCCGGGTCTCATAAACGGAACTCACAAGCTCCGCACAAGGTTAATGGTTGGGTCGGTATCCAAGCTTGCCACCATTACTTTCTTTACATAACACTCTGCGACTCTGCTTTGAAATCAGACCCCTTTTTTAGCTGCTTGCAAGACGCGACACCGAAGTGACGATGAAATGACTCCGAGTCGGTGGTAAGAATCGATCTGGCATCGGTGGTCTATCCATCCCTGAAGGTATAAAAACGAACGAGGTCCTCTGTATCCTAGACATTGAGTTTTGTTAATCCTACAGGTCGTTCTCAGCCATTTCGAAGAAAATATGCACGCGAAGCGACGACAGAAAGACACGTTCGGATTGGTGAAGGACGGAACAACGCCACCAGAGAACACACGTAAACACATGAACCGGGAGACAAGCCAGGCCTGGCGCGGACGACGGAGAGACGGTCCCAGAGCCACCAAAAGTGTTTCGAGCGATTCCCGCGAGGGCGCGCCACGATCGTGGTCAAACTCTGAAAAAGGTCAATTGCGCCATGAACGAGTCTGCTATATCTTGCGTCAAAATTCCATTTTTTTTTTTTTCTAATTGCGCTACGCCTGTGCCAAGATGGGCTTATGACATGGGCAAGTAGAACAAGACGGGATAAGCTCTAATAAGCGCTTGTCCTATATATGTTTACCGTTTGTCCTTTGCCTTTTTTTTTAAATTATTTTCGTGACGTGTAACCAATCAACCCAACGGTTTATTATGTTGTATTTCACAGCATCTCTACTCACTGTAGGTTGTTTCATTTCAAGTTAGAGCTTAGTCGAAGGCTCGAACAAATGCAGCCACGAACACATAGT